TGCTGAGGAGAGCAGTGGGAGGGTCAGGAGAGGTCTGCTGCACCATGTGGTCACCTCCGGGGCAGGCGGGAATCGAACTCATGCACAAGTGGCTTTAGATTCTCAGTGCTGTGCTTTAACCCACTGCACCACCAAGGAGGGCCCTAAGTAGACTTATTAAAACTAACATTCAATCACAAAGATACTGAGTACTATGGGGCTCTTTTAGCTTATTTCTCTGCCTCTACAGACCTAGTTCAATAACTTGTCTTATAACTCTCCCAGGGTTTAATATGTACTAAGAAGCAGAAACTTTCATTTTGGCTGAAATTTTTGTAAGATTAAATTAATAAATCTTACAGCATCTTTATTATCTAAATAATTCCTGCCGGTTAGGCATCCTTACTGTCTAACATTCTCCTTCAGTAGAACCATACAAAGGTTTCCTAAAACTGCTCTCTGACTAGTATAAAGAATAACACTTCATAATTTTTAATTAGAAACAAATTGACATTTACCAATTTACAGAAAGTAAAAAATTTCTCACCAGACTTAATTTATATTAAAAAATTTTAATGACATATTTTTTTAGCTTTAAAGTAGTCTTAAATTCATGTCCTTCCAATGAAATTCTATCACAAAACGCAGTAATTAATTTCAGATATTTTCACTCCAAAATATTTAAACGAACAGATAGAATGCAAAAATAAAATAGAGCATATAAAAACCGCAATTTCATTCAATATACCACTTATTAAAAATGAAATCTAAATTTGAGGATGAAAGTTTGTTCACTAATAAATAAGTGAACAAACTTAGAATAATCTTGAATAATCTGACCACTTCAACAACTGAAAATCTTAGCTAGTTACACAATTTTAGAAATTACCCATCTCAACTCTTTCCCAAAATCCAAACTTTTCTTCTAAAAGCTCCAGTTCTGTTTAACTAATACTTGCTAAACACCAATATTTGAATGCTTCAAACAATTCACCTCTTCCAGAAGTCACACTCTATAATCATGCCTTCTGCTCCTTATCACAGAGGAATGAAAGGAACTTCCATCCACTCAAAAATTTCAAAGTCTCCCCATATTCAACAGTCAAATCTAATGAAGTAAGTGTTCTAGGAGTCCCTTCAAATCTCTCCTTTCTCTTCTTCCTTCACTCACTGTCTTTTTCTTTGCTCAGGATTTTCATTCTCCATCTAAATTCCCACGGTAACCTCTTAAATGCCCTTTTTCTCTCATTATCTCTTGAAATAAAGTAATTTACTAGCCCCCAAATAAATTTCCACTTGAGTTTCTTGGCTCCTTAGGATATAAGCTCCACTTACTATGACAAATGAAGATACTTCAAAATCTAGTACCTATCTAGGTCTTCAGCCTCTAATTCCACTACTTACTCTCTATAGTCCATTTATTTTAAAATAACTTTGTGATTCACTGAGTGTTGATTCATATTGCATGTGTTCATTCATGTATAGAAACCTTCTCCTTATCTCTACTATATTTGACAAACTCCTATTTATCCTCTAAATCCTCAGGGCACAAAACACTCTCCTTTGTATTATTTCAGTGTCTTTGAATTATTTTTACAAGTGAGAATACATTTGATTACTCTTAAGTTTGAAATGAAAGAGGTCTCATTCAGCTCTACATTCTTAGCCCTTAGCAAATATCCACCATAATAATGTATAGGTGGCTAACCAGTGAAATTTGAATGCAAACTAAAACTGACACAGGCTAGAATTATAGGTAGGAATCATTAATGCTCCTAAAGAGCCATGTTTCCTTAAATATTTACTCTGTGATAATTTGGGATCTGTACTGAAAAACTAAATCTCTAATTGGAAAAAATTATTTCATTAAAGATGGGCAATTAGTAGCAATCTATATGTGGCAGAAAGAACTATTCTTTCTACTACCCATGTCACCATTTCCAATCTATTTAAGAATATTTTTGATCACAAAATCATAAACAATTTAATTTTCTAGTTCAAAAACAAAATCAGTAGAAATTTTATCTTCACTTAGATTCTCAAGCGTACTGTTCTATAAATCATTCTCTAGTAGAGTACTATAGTTTAGAATGATTTTACTTCATATAATCTAACAAATGTCAAGTTCTAACATATAGAAAATTTCAGTTAAGACACATTCTACGTTTAACTTATATCAAGATGAGAAGTTCTTGTCTGCACAAAATAGAGTATAGGAATGAAAACAAAATTAGCTATTATTAACAGCAATGGTATAATGAGATCCTCAAAAGATTAGTTAGAAGAACCGTGAATAGTCCCTAAGACATCCTTTGGCAAGATTATTTAATAAGCAGACATTAATCTTTATAAGACTTCAACTCTTCTTAAAAGCTAAATAGCAATGAATTAATCATGTATGTTAATAAAAGGAGTAACTACAGTTACCCTAATGTGCTTTTTTTTTTAATTTAAAAAATTTAGATTTATTTATGTATACAAGAACTGGACTTTAGGCTAGAGGTGTGTGGGTGTGGGGCAGTTTGAAGGGAGACATGAGAGTATTCATCAGACAGAGTAGGGAGCAGTATAGGCAGATCCACTGAAACACACTGCCTAGGGAAGCAGCAGGTGAAGCAGGAGCAGTCTGCTGGTGATACCTTGATAATGTTGAAAATTTAACCCCTGCACCACCAGGAAGTCCCCCTGTAATGTGGTTTTAGCTTAGATAGTACACAAACTCAGCTTCTCTCAACTTCCTTCCATCAAATTTTTTTTTTAAGATTCATTTATTTATGCATACAGAACTGGGGTTTAGGGCCAGAGATGCAGGGGTGGTGAGAGGATTCACCAGAGACAGCATAGGGAACAGAGCGGGCAGAATGAAGAAGTACATTGCAGAGAGGAGCAAAGGGAAAGACAGCAGAAGTCTGCTGGGCCATGTGGGTCACCTCCCTGGCTGGGAATCGAATCGGTGCTGAAGCAGCTGCTGCTAGCTTTGTAGTACTATGCTTTAAACTTGTTGTGCCACTAGAGAAGGCCAATTGATTTTTTTGATAATGGTGATTACTTTCTGTTCTTTATTATAATCATCAATAATGCTTTTAAATAATTTATAATTCATAAAACTATTAAGTTTCCCAAAAAAGTATTAAGTTTCTGAAACTAAAAAGCAAAAAATGGTAATCTAGGAGGGTTACATGATACATACTATGACAGAGAATAGCTACTCACTGAATGATGCTATCCAAGATCTATTCCAAGACAAAAATTGGAAATACCTGAAATATCCTTGGTATTCCTCCAGTATTGTAGTGAACAACTAAACTGATTTTATTCTCTTTCTCCACAATTTCAAAGGACCCTTCTTTCCATTTTGTAATTCCAGTCTGCATACTTCGAATTCTGATAGGACCATGTATCTTCAGAGGAGACATACTTTCTTTAAAAATAAATTACTTCTAGTCAAATTAAAGCAAAAATAGACCTTCACTTGACAGATTCTAGGGAAGAAAAACAAGTTAAAATTTATTAATGATTAAGAGTTTGTAGAGAATATCTAATCATGTTATATGCTTCATGTGAATAAGCCACATTTTTTCTAAGTATACTCAAAACCTTGATAGACTGGATGGCACAGGTAAGAAAGTCAACTAAATTTGTGACATATTCACTAACAATCTAACCACCTTTTATTTTTGCCACCAAGATTCCCTTCTTTTCCAAATGTCCAGTACCTGCGTCTACTAGTGCTTAAATTTTGCATTTTGCACCATTAACAACTATACTACTGCCACTAAACCATGCCAACTGGAAACACTTAAAAACTCCATTCTAAATGTGATTGCTCAATGCAATATAATCAACCTTTACTTTCATCATTAAAGTGCTGAATCTTTCTTTCCTTATGAATGGTTTAGGGTTCTGCATTTCAAATACAAATTAAAGATTTTCTGTCAGTTAAGACCATTTTTTAGACCAGAATTCTCCCAAAACATGAACTTTTATTAGCAAACAACTCCTAATAGAAAGTAGTCTAAACACATCTGCACATATAGACAACATCAAATAAAAATTATAAGAACCATATAATTAGTTTAACCTCCATAATTGTATTTGAAAATCATTTATCCTCTATGGAAAACATTAAAAACATCTCTTCCTAAAGCCATCTACCATTTATATTTAATATTACCATCCTGAAAAGAATATCAATTTTTATCTTAAGTGGAACTCAGTATCCCAAATGACCTTCTAATATATAAAAGTTACACAATGACAGAATGTCTAACTCTTCAAAGTAGTTTTTCAAATGTTAACAAGTAAATAATAATAAAGAATATTACTAAATAGTTGTAATGGGCTATATACATACATGTTCACATATATAGCAATCATCTAAAGCTGCTAAATCAAATTTTACTTATATTATTTCCAAATCTCTAAAAATATTTCCTCAAATATTTTCTTGCTTATAATTTAATATATTAAAAACCACTAAATTTTGCCTATAATTAAACAGCTCAACTGAAAAAGCTAAGAAAAAATAGTATACAAAGGAAAATCATATTATGTCTAGCTATCAGGAACAAGTTCTATCATCAATTACAAATATGTAATTTACCTTTTCTAATCATTAATTTTCAGAATTATGAACAGAGGGAACAGCAAATGTTGCAATAGTGTTCTTGAATTAAATGACACACAGACAAGCAGCTTTCATAGGAATGGAGTTAATGTTTACTTTCTGAATTTATTCCTGTCTGTAATATCTCCTTCACCCAAGATCCAAAAAAATCAAATTAACAGAGGTTATCAACTTAATTGTCTATGGGGCAAGGAGGTGACACAAATGACTTATGCAGGTAAAATACAAATACCTGCTACTCAAATTAAGCAACCTAACTTTGTAGAAAGTGTGAACCTAGCCAATAATTTGTGTCCATAGTTCTTTGCCATTAATAATTTGTTGCTTCATTGTTTAGATAGGCAATTGGGAATTTCTCCACTCTGATTCTCAGAAATTCCAAGAATGTATAGCCACTCTTCTTCCCCAGTTGCGCATACTAGAAACATGAGTTATCATTAATGTCTCTCTTGATTATTGACATTAGATTGGAGATGGTAAGTCAGGATAGACTCCTATCAATTCTACCCCATACACACTCCAGATATCTTTATAAAGAACTACAGATCAAATCAACATCACTATCCTCCTTAAAGTCATTCAACAGCTCCTTACCCCCTCTCAATAAAACAGCCCTTCATGCTTCAGGTCCTGCTTACCTCTTTATCTCCCAAAAGTCCTTCAAATCCAGTCACCTGTATTATTTTTTCATTTCCTTTAAAAAAGTTCTAATGCCTGTAGAAAAAAGAACCCTCTTACACTTGCTGGTGGAATATCAGCTGGTGCAACCACTATAGAAAGCTGTATGGAGAACTCTCAAATTACTAAAAATGGATCCCATATAACCAGCAATTCCACTGCTAGGAAGTTACCCAAAGGACACCTGCACTCCCATGTTTACTATAGCATTATTTACAATAGTCAACCAATGGAAACAACTTAAATGCCCCCAAAACAGATGAATGGATCAAGATGTACACACACAATGGAGCAATCAGAAAGATAAACTCTGCCATTCATAGCAACATGAATGGGCCTGGAAGGGATCATGCTTATTGAAATATATCATAAGGAAAAAGAAAAACATCAGATGGTTTCACCTATAGGAGAAGTACAGGGAAACCAAACAAAGGGTCCAAAAAAAAAAACCATGCAAGTAAATTATAGATATAAGGCAAATAGCAGGGAAGGGAGAGGGAAGAGGGTTCAAAACAGGGGAGGAAAGGACACAAGGGAAAGTTGATAGGTGATATGGGGATGGGAGATTTAGGGGGACTACACCTGAAGGTAAAAATCCTAATGCCACTGTGGTCCCCATGCCTCAAGGATTTTTAGGTATTCTCCCAATCCACCACATTCCCCTTAATTTCTTTCTGGCTGTAAAATCAAGGCTCAGCTTAGAGGTTCTCTTAGATTTAGGAAGTTTTTCCAAGGTACCTTTTGATTTGCTTTCACTTGTTATCCCCACCGAAGACTCTTTAATGCTTCTTTATCCTCCTGTTTTATACTCTGCTTACTTCTAGAAGAGCATTTATCACTTTGCATTATAAACTATTTACCTCTGTCTCTAGACTTTGCAAATTGAAAACAGGCAAATGATCTTTAATCTTTGCATTTCCCCCTAGGCCAGTGTCTGATACACAAAAAAACAAACTCATTATTCAAAAACAGTGAACAAACAAGTGCTATTCATTTTACTGAATTTGATGTTAAAATATACAACAGCAGATACAGGAACCATAAATCCCTTTTATGTGGATCATATAAGGTTATACTTACTTTGATCTCTACAAGCGTACCACTATGTACTGTATTATAACTCATCTTTTGAACACTGCATATAAGTTTTTTCTATGTACACTTGAACTTCACTACAAGCAGGATTATGTTAACATTCAATGGGAGAAAAATCATTAATGAACAAAAATATGGTATTATCATTACATCTACATTGTTAGCAACACTTGATAGAGTAAAACAAAAACATCAGTGAACATCTCTAAATTGGGATTCATATATTCACTGTTCAATGTATTAACATAAACTCCATTTTAAATGTATATTTTTAAAGATTTATTTATTAATACACACAGAACTGGGGTACAGGCCAAAGGTGCAGGGACGGTGAAAGGATTCACCAGAGACAGAGTGGGGTGCAGAACAGGCAGATCGAAGTACACTACTGAGGGAGCAGTGGGCAGGTCAGGAGAGCTCTGCCACACCATGTGGGACACCTCCCTGGCCAGGGATCGAACTTGTGAAGTGGCTGCTTCTAGCGTCATAGGGCTGTGCTTAAATCCACTGCGCCACCAGGGAAGGCCCATAACAAACTCCATTTTAAATTGTATCTTTTGTCAAATTCCCTCATATTTCTTAACATGTCATTCTGGGTTAGAGTGCCAAATAAATACAAAAATGATACAAACTCCATTATACCAAAAATAAAGGTCACCAACCTTGAATCTCTCTAACAATAACACTTATTTTAAAAAATGACAAATTTAACAAAATTGAATATGAAGATTTCAAAGTTCACCAAAGTATATGACAAACAAATAATATGATTGTTTACTTCCATTTCCAAATAATTCTCTATATAACACATCTGTACAAAGCCTCTATAACATTTAGATATAATTCTTAAATATTTGGTGAAAGTTAGGTTAAGTGTATAAAATTTTACTTCAGATATTGTATATTTTAACCATTTCTATAAGTAATTTCTAAGGTCAAAAGAGACTAAAATATGCAGGATATAAAGTTGACAGAACCAATAAAACTTTTGCTTAATGCTGCACTTTAGTCCATTAACTGCTCTTACAGTAAATGAACTAACTCCATATAGTTCTGTATATCAAATTATCAGGGTTTGCCCCACTTGGTTAAGAAAAAAAATAATAGTTTCTTTTTTAGTATGTATCAAGATATAGTAACAGTTAAACCTTCTATGAACTTAAGGACTCAGACAAGGTTTCTTTGAATTATATAATGTTAATTTGCTATCAAAGCATTATTAAGAAGACAAAAGAATTGGCCTCCCTGATGGCACAGTGGGTTAAAGCACAGTACTGAGAATCTAAAGCTGCTTCCGCATGAGTTCAATTCCCGCCTGCCCCGGAGGTGACCACATGGTGTGGCAGACCTCTCCTGACCCGCCTGCTGCTCCCCTCAGCAGTGTACTTCATCGATCTGCCTGTTCTGTTCCCCACTCTGTCTCTGGTGAAGCCTTTCACCGCCCCTGAGCCTCTGGCCTGTACCCCAGTTCTGTATGCACAAATAAATAAATCTTAAAAAAAAAAAAAGACAAAAGAATTAAAAACTAATTATTCCTTAAGTACCTCTAAAGATATGCCCCTTTCTCTAAATTTCATCGCAATCATTAAAATTACTATTCAATTTTGAGTATTCTCTGAAAGTTCAAAGAATGTTCACAAAAATGCTTCTACACCTTATGCAGTTATTTAAATGCTCTTATTTTAGAAATTACATTGAAAACATCTTTACCCAGAGAACATTCTGTGATAAAGAAAACATGCTAAAGCATAAAACTGTTAGCACAAAGTAAAAAGAAAAACCACTGTCAATTTTTGTCAGGTTGCACTCTCTTGGAAACAGTCAGAACAAAAACATTACTTACTTTCCAGTGACTTAATGAAAAACTCTATGTAATAACAATTCACCTTTATTCTGATCCGTGTGCCAAAGGCATTGGACTCTTCCGAGCGAACTGCTCATATTCTGCAGCTATGCCAGTTTTTCTGAAGCCATCAACTCAGCTGAAGAAAACATAAGTGTGCCTTTTTTAAATCATCCAATTTACAAAATTAAAGCTTGTAAATAAATCATCACTTATACAACAAAGATTAATCCTTTGATTTAAAAAAAAACCACAAACCATCTTTTGTAAACATTTAAAATATAATGTTTCTCTCTTGCTCTGTCAAAAGAACTTCAGGTGATGTATCTCTTGTACAAAATGAGTGTCCTGGAAGAACATGCACTTTAATCAATTTGTACCACAGTTTATTTATCACTGCTACATTTTGAAACAAAGAAAACAGAGAAAGAGTGTATCTTTTGTTGACTTTATAAACATTGTTACACAATGATGTCTTAGGGCTTAAAATTTCACTTCCATAATGTGTGAATACAAATCCCAAAAGATGGGTCAACTATGAATTCTTACTTTTCTTCAAAATGAACCTTATGAATTTATTTCTAAAATTCAGGTTTCTCTAATACTCATCTTTCCCTGAAGTTCCACCCAAACAACTCATTACTTCTTTAGTGCTTTTATATAACTTTGAACCTACTTGTTAACTCAGTAAAAATCACCGAGCTACTCTAACTTGGTGGTGGTGGTGGGGACACAAGCGCGAAGATGATACTGTCTACGCCCTTATGAAGAGCTCTAGACTTCCCTACATTTGTTCTTTCACCATCATTCACACAAAGTATCTTAACATCAGCTTTAACCTCATCACTCTCACTTATCAACAACCCAGTCCCTTCATAGCTATTACTCTAATTCTGAAACTCATTAAGTTGCCATTACTCCTACCTACCATTTATTATACAGGAACACATTTTTGCACATTTATCCATTTAAATTTCACAACAATACTAAGAGAGAGGGGTAATTATTATCTCTATTTTACAGACAAGGAAACTGAAGTTTAGTAAGATTAATTTATCCATGGCTACAGTGTCAATAAGAAAATCAAACTAAGCCTAACAACAAAACCCACTTTTTTCTTGAGTTTTAATGATTCCTCACCTAGTTTACATAACTATAATTCTGGGCGTACAACTTCACGCCTTTATATGCGTACAAGACTTACTACACACTCTCCAGCAACTCTCCTGTGCCGAAACCTCTTCACTATTTTTCCTCCCTCCCACAACCTGCCTGGTAACCAGTATATTTTTCACATTATCTAAGAATTATTTTTGTCATTTTGCCAGTTTTTAAACTACTACCATACTACATTATTATCGATGACTTGATTTAATCACTTTCAATCTCTATTAGTTCAGGATTTTTCCACCAAATGAATCCTTTACTCCATAGTACCTTCTACAGAGCTACTTTTACTTATTTCAACTTAAGAACGAACTAGTTGTCTCCATAACTTTCTACCCTAAAGTGGAGATGGGGGGATCCAGGGAAGAAACCTGTATTATCTTCACTTGTAACAGTACTTAGTAAGTGCTAATACTAGCGACTGATACTAATTTCTGTCCAAATATTTTAAAAGATTTATTTTATTGTTGTAAGAATAATATAAGATCTACAAACTTAACATATTTTGAGTATCTAGTAGTGTCATTATACTTACATTATTGTACAATATTTATTCATCTTGGTCAAACTAAAAGTTTCAAACATTTTTAATAGCTCATCACTACCTATAATATAGATTCAATACTTCTCTGTGTGTGCCATTCACTTCCTTTTTTTTTATTTTCAACCCAAATCTTGTTTCACATACACAAATTATTAAATTTTAAAGTTCTTCTAAATCCACTACCAACAACTTACTTACAGGTGATTTTCCTTTATTTTTGGAAGTCACATCCTCACTGGTCTGAGTTTAAAACCTGTTATTAAACCAAGAAACCACTCTGATTTATAGAGGCTTTTTTCTCCTAAAGAGATTCATAAAACAAGTACAACAATAAAAGTATTGTTGTTGCTGAAAATAAAGGAAAAGCTGACCTAGTAAAGTTTATCTCCAATTCAACAAGCGTAGTATATCAATGAATTTATGACACAAGAGTGCCATAAATCCAAAGCTGGAAAACCCTTTACTTTTTTCTTCTGTGTACTTTGTAGAATTAAAAGGTAGAATTATCAGATGACAAGAGTATCAGTATAATGGAGCTTCCAAGAGCGCTGACGATTCTTATACGCAGTCTCCAGTGTATTCATTACAAACTCTTAAGAAGTAGAAATAATTACTAGTTTATATTCTATTAGGAAGCAGATTTTAGATAAGACAAGTAAATATATAATTACCAGCTACAAAAAATTATATAATGAAAGATTTTAAAAGGGTACCTGATGTAAGACTTGGGTGACAGAGAGTAAAGAGCATTGAGAAAAGGCTTACTTGAGAAATACCACTTATGCTTGAATCTGAAGAATGAGTTAACTGAGGGATGGTCATGCTGAAACAATGCTGGCAAGTCAAGTTGCATGTGCAAAGTGATATGATGTTGCTTCCTTATGATGGAAAATAAACTGGTATGACTAAGTAAATGATGAGGCCAGGGAAATAGAATCAGGTTATGCAGGGTCTTGTAGGCCACAGTAAAGATTTTAAATTTTACCTATACAAATACAGTTAGTGATGTGAAATTCACTGAGGGATTTTAAACAGAGAAATAAGTCACCAATGAATAAACAAGTGATATGGTTTGTTTGGGTTTAGAGAAGAGAGTGAAAGGAACAAGAATAGAAGAAAACAAGGCAACCAGACAACAGAGCATTAAAATGATTCCACCATTTGTTTAACTTGGTTGTCTCAGTTAATCCTCATAACAATGATATAAGGTGATTATCTTACAAATGTGAATACAGGGAATTGGTGACATTAAGTCTATTGAGAAAGGATTGTGCCTTAAGCTAGAGAAATGATACTAAAGATGAGCAGAAAGATTGAAGGCATACATTGGAAGAGAATCCACCTTGAAAAGGATATGGTGCATGGGATGAAGAAGCAGTCAAGACTGGTATTCAAAAATCTTGTAAATGTATATAAATGGCATGGCACTGAATGAAATGGGATACTGGAGGAGAAAGAATTTGGTATAGAGAAAAAATTAAGACTGATTATATTTGAAATTCCTAAAAACATCAAGTTGAAATGTCAAATAGTTGGTTATTTAGATCTTGAACTGAAAACAAAGGGAACAGGATGGAAATAAAAATTCTTAAGTCATCAATTTATAAATGGAATTTAAAGCTTTGGGCAAAAGGTAAAAGTAGAAAAACAAGACCTAATACTGAATCCAGACATTCCACTTATTCTGTCAAAAGTCTCTATAAATGATTAATGTCACCAGGTTTTTCAGCCCTCATTCAACTTTACCTTTCTGCAAAATTCAATGCTTCCTATTACTTTTTTGTTGTTGTTGTTGCCTCTTTTACAAGCCTTGTCCTCCTCTATCCAGTTGTTAAAATAATCAAGAATCGGGCCCTCCCTGGAGGCACAACGGGTTAAAGCACAGCACAGAGAAGCTAAAGCCAGTCCAGCAAGAGTTCGATCCCTGCCTTCCTGCCTAGGTGATCCACATGGTGCTATCCACATGGCGCGGCAGACCTCTCCTGACCTGCCCGCTGCTCCCCTCAGCAGTGTACTTCATCTGTCAGCCTGTTCTGCTCCCCACTCTGTCTCTGGTGAATCCCCTCACCACCCCTGCACCTCTGACCTGTATCCCACCTCTGTATGCATAAATCTTAAAAATAAAAATTATCAAGTATCCTTCAATGCTACATCCTAGGTCCCCCTTCTTCTCTTCTCCAGCACTGTACTCTTCGGACAATATAACCTACTTCCATAGCTTCAATCACTAGCAACCAAACAAATTATATATAAACGTTTACCTATATTTCCACCCCAGAACTCTCCTTTAGAGGAGAGCTCCATTCTACTAGATACAAAACCCACTTCAAATGTTCTTAAGGTATCTCTTCCAGCTAAGACCTGTCAGTCCTAAAAAAAAGTGTTTACTCAGGGTTAGAATTTTGAAAAAATTACTAGAAAACCATTACAGGTCAATGCTCCAGGACACAGGATTATGCCATTAATTATCATTTCCTTTCATGGATCATGACCTAAAGTGGGTAAACCTGACAACCTTATTGATGATTAGAAATGGGAAGCAACCAGATGCACGACAAAAATACAACTCGTGCCTCTTGGAGCAGTTAGGAAAAAGAAAGTGAAGAATGGTCAGAAGAGGAAAAGAATATCATGTCCAGGGCCTGATGGATGTATGGCAACGGAAGTCACCTGTATACACAGCAGGCCTCGCTAAGGGGCGAGTGGAGGACGATGACAGCCCTCTGCGAAAAGGGGCCACATTTGGTTGCGGAGGGAGCGAGTAACATTAAAGACCAGTAAAAGATGAGCGAAAGCCTGGGGGGAAACCCAAGGAGGGTACCTGCACGGACAGGGCAGCGTCGAGGGGCTGGGGGCAGGCTGAGCACAGTGGGGCGAACTCTAGAAGAGTGAGCACCGAGTGGGCGGACCGCACGGGGCGGGGTGGGGGGGCTAGGGAAAACGGCTCAGTTGAGAAGCTCGCCGGGCCCGCCTTACCTGTACTTGTGGGTCCGGGGCTCCCGACTGGCCTGCCGGAAGCACCGAGTCCGCGCGGAGGGGAGGAGCCCGGGATAGGAAAGGAAGGGACACCCAGCACGTAGGAGCGAGACCACTCGCTCCCCCGTCAGGGAGGGCGGCTGATGGCGGGAACTGTGACCACACGCAAACACGCACGCACGCACGCACACTCGACGCCAGACCACACTAGGCGCGTGCGCGCTAGATTGCAAACTCCGCCTCTCTTACGCCCTCGCCCCGCCCCTCCACTGAACGAAGTCTAACCAAGATAGCCCCGCCCCGTCCGGGAAATAGTACGCATGCGTACTGTCCACTCCGTGCACTTTTCGCCCTCCCACCATTTCCCTTCTTTCAGTCCTGTTGGGCATGCGCATACCTTCGAGACGGCCCGGATTTTCCCGCCCTTCACTGGCCACGGGAGGGGGGTCAGAGTTCACGCCCCTCTCCTGGGATACCTGCTTGAAGTCGGGAGGTGCGGAGATTTCATAGGTGGCGGACGTATTTCCGGTACCGAATCTTAAAGGGGCAAAGAACATGCTCGAACTGTAAACGCTGCCAAGGACCAGAAGGCGGGAAAAGGTGGTGTGGGCGGGGTCAGGGGTGAAAGGTCAGAGGGCTGCTAAGGGGCGGAGCGAGCCGGAGGCGGATGGCGGCTGCGGCGCCTCATCATCTTTGGCGGCAGAGTCGCTGAGCGGGGACTGTAGGCGGACGCGTCCGGCGGTCGGGAGAGAGCGGCGGCCGCTCCCAACATGCACAGTCTGGCAACGGCTGCGGTAAGTGCCTGTGCCGCCCTGCTGGGCCCAGAGCCCTTCCTCAGCCCGGCGCTTCGGCCTCCTCTCCTGGTTCCCTCTGTGGGGCCGAGACTCTGGCGCCTCCTTTTTCTTAACCCGCGCGGGGCCGGGTCCTCGCCGTGCCTCGGCTGTGGTGCAGGCGGCCCCACTTCCCTCGCCGGCCGGCTCTCGCGGCCTCTTCCACCGGGTATAGGTTACCCCGGCCGCGGGGCCTGGGCCCGCGCTCGGCACCCCTCCCTCGCGGCCGGGATCTACCCTTCATTGATTCACTGCGCGGACCGACAGTTTCTGGGCGCCAGTTGCTGGTTGGGCGTCGGCGGGATGAGGGGAGTTCTGCGGTCAATCTGACGAGGCCGGTGCTCTCGGAACTCGCTGCCCAGGCACATCGCAGTGCGAAGGAAATGTCTTCTAGCTCCACAACTTGCTTTGCATATGGAAAATCTGAGACCCAGAAAAGTGTATAGGCTTTCTGCGTTTCAGAATTTTCTCACACTTCTCATTTTACCAGCGGGATCTTTTGATAAGAAGAAGGGATCGTGAAACGCTAAGGCTCCCGATTGCATTTAGATTACATCCAGACGCGTTGCTGAGGCTTGCACGGCCTTACCTGTACGAGATAATCTTTACCGCCTTCCCCGCAGTCGTCTTCTGTCATTTGCTCTGTAAGCTGGCCGCCCTTCCATCTCTTCTACCTGTGTTTTTCCACTCCAGGGTGTAGTTTCTGATCCCTACTCCAAGAATGCTCTTTCTACTCCCCCTCCCTTACGTGTGCACACACAGCGTGTGGGTGTAATTGGTCCATCTTTCCTCGGTCTCTGCCTAGAAGTGGCCTTCCCCGATCCTCCTATTTAAACTAGTTTTGTAAACCCGGTTGTTTTGGGCTTGGGTACTCTTTACAGTACAGCATTGGTCTCAATTTGCAAGTTTTGTGTTTGTTTACTTGGTTATTGTCTGTCTCCCTCTTAAGGGCAGGGCTCTCCCAGTGCCAGGGCAATTCCTAGCACAAGGTTGAGAGTTCATATACTTTGCTGCTTAAAGCTTATAGGTGAGGGAGGATACCACTGAGAGCATAGAGCCATGATGATAGAGCCATGAAGGAATTACGTGATTTAAGCATATTTTTCTGTATACCCTGTCCCACTTTTTGGGGGTTTCACTGAGGTGAAGTGATTTAAGGAGAGTAGTGCAAGTGAACTGAGTGATTAGGTTAGAGAAAACATTGTCATTTCCAGGTCCAGTGGCATAGGTCACCACTTTTCCTAACTGCGCCTATTCAGAGCAGAGAGCTACCTTTTGTATCTCAGGTGATTATAATTTCCTCAAACAGTTTTTGTTTGTTTTCTTCTCCCAAGTTATACATGTAATGTAGGAAAAAGTCCAAAGATGACGTTGCTACTGGTAGGGGAAAGGCAGTTTTAACACGGTAAAGGTTAGCTTATCTGTCTCTCAAAATTTGTGTCTCCTCCAGACCTTGAAACCAAACTTCTGTTTTCCCTGCACCTTCCCCTAACTCTATTACATTTATTTTCATTTTTTCCCTAAAGCGTTTTTTTTTAAGCCATGAAAACTTTAGCACATTATTTATAATAAGTATTCAGTTAATTTTACAACACTTTATACTTACTTGAAACGTGAGCCTTTAGATATATTTTCACCTGTCAGGCTTTTATGACCACACAAAAGTTCTGATAAGTTCCTTTGTACCACTCATACACCAGGATATTTGGTTAGTGAGATGAATAAAATAGAAAAATTGAGCCACTTCTTTCCCACTCTTTCAAGCCTTCCTTTAGAATAAGTTGCCTGTTTTATTCTGATCCAAGTAAAGGTATATATTTCTTAGTGGAAATTGGGAAGATTTTCCCAATTTAATAATACATGTAACACTGCCCATAATAATCTGAACTGGCTTAGGAGATGTTTACTTTTTACTTAATGACAAAATTTGTACTTGTGTTTGTACCTCTAGTTCTCTTTTTTTAAGTAACATCGCTTAAGCTAGAGAGGTATCAAGACTGTGAGCACAAGTGAATGCACCATGTCATTTGCTAGAGGAGGGAATTGAGGTAATTTGGGAAATATCTTAATATTTGACCCTGAGTAATATTCAGAAGTGTGCAGAATGACTGTTTTCATTCTTTAAGTATCCGTCCTAGCATATTCACTGTTGTGCCCATTGTTTTTCACATCTATTAAATGTAGCAAAAGCACAATTTAGGGTTATCCCAAAGATTAAATAATAACGAAATATCAGTGGGTGGCAGCTTTCACTTACTAGTCTAAAGACTTTCCTGCCAGACTTGGCCTTAATTCCTGCTTCAGAAAGTAACTTAAAACATTTTCTTACAGACCTTGGAGGTTGCTTTAGATTAGTAAACCTGTAAATCTTCACAGGTTTCTCCTGTGGTTCTCCTGTAGTGAATGTTATACTACTGACCTGAAACAAGCAAAGGTAAACAAACTGTTAGGGGATTCATTGGGTATGTACTTATATATATAGAAAAATAACCCCACTGATTTCCACTGGCAGTTCTAACATCCTTAAATCCTTGTTTTCCATCACTTTCTACCTAACCAGCAGTATTAGTCACTTTATATCTTTTTGTTCAAACTGTGCTAGACTCCCAGATGCCCTCCTCTTTGGCAAGTAGAAGGAACACTATGCACTCTGAGGGATCTAATTCAGTCACTCCCCCTATGTCTCATTGTGAAACTTTAATTTTTAAAAAGTAACTTTGAAGGACATCCTGTCCCTTGTTTTATAAATTTATAAGAATAAGCTAATTCAGTGTTTTCCTCTAGCATCATTCAGAAAGTCTGGTTTTGTTTTTGTTTTTTTTTTTTTTTAAGATTTGTTCTTGTTTATTTATGCATATAAGAACTGGGATATAGGCCAGAGGTACAAGGGATAAGAGGATTCACCAGAGACAGAATGGGGAGCAGAACAGGCAGATAGACTGAAATATACTGCTGAAGGGAGCAGTGGGCAAGACAGGAGAGGTCTGCTGGGCCATGTGGGTCACCACCCTGGCTGAGGATCAACTTCCTGCCACAGTGATTGGCGATAGCTTGATACTGCTGACACTTTAACTCCTATACCACCAGCGAGGCCCCAGAAAGTGTGTTTTCTTAGAGTATTTTCATTATGCAGACAAAGTCACATGTTGTCACCTCCAGATTTGGGGCAATAATCTATTTCAAACTGATTCCTTTCTTTCCTTGTTCACTGTCCCATTTTCACTAGTAGGAAAACCAGCAGCTATTTTGGTCATTCAACATAGAATTCTTTTAATAGATATCACTATTTTCTGTTTAAGAAAGTCATCAACTTCAGCTTTTTTAATTCACTCAGAGGGGAGAAATCTTATTTTATACTTATGGGTAAATGTGAATTATTTTTATTTAAGTTAATCTAGATTTTTTAAAATTGCTTAGCTCTTTCAGAGGTAGAAAACCAATTATTAATTACTACCTTGTGTGATTCTTAGAGGTTAACCATTAGTGACTAGCTTGTTGTTGCTAATGTCTTGCTTGTGTTAAGTTTTGTTGGAAAGAAAAAAGTATTTTGAAATACTTTTTCCATTTACAATCTATTAGAAAGAAGAGTGGATCCTTCCTAAATTTTGATAATACAAACTTTTAAAAACATATCTATTAAAAGGAAAGGATCAGAGTTAGCAGGCTATAACAAAAACTTGCAATGATATACCTTTCTAATCTTGTAATTAAGTATCGGAAATACAAATAGCCCCTTGTAAACTGACTTTGTTCTGGGAATGTAATTTAATCCACTGCTTATTCAATTCAAGCTATTAAAGAGATACAATAGTGATGTTAAAGTTATATATTGGGTTTTTAATTGGAGGGATATTTTTTTAATTGGAGGGATATTTGTGATATCAATCCTATAGGCCAGGTAGAGCTCACTAATTCCAGAGAGAAATAGTCAAATTCACTGTATGAATTTGAATATGGTAAACCTATAAATGAAAAGAATCACAGCAATTGTAGTAAAAACATTTAAAGGTGATGTTTAAGTAGATAATAGGAGGAAGAAATTTGCCTACATTGTTTAGCCTTTGATCATTTGTAAAATGAGGATAATACCGCATTGTTGGGGTTGTTGAATGAAACCATGTTTCTAACAAAAATGTGCCACATCATTCTTCTTTATTTTCAAAAAAGCTAAACTTTTGTGTTATAAAATTACTTATATATGTATGTAGGGAAAGAGTTTCATCACTTGTAGAATGAGGGTAATACCACATCATTATATGCACACGTGCTAAATTATGCCACTGTCTGCATCATATGTCATCTGTTACAATGACTTTTCCATTAAAATGATGGTTAAGTACCTCAGTCTCAATAAGTAAAAATTTTCTTGACATAAATGAAGTTGCTCCTGGTGTTGATTGCTGAAGTGATAACATTTTAGTCTTATATCCATATAGATTCTCTATCTAAATTGTTTAAATCATGGTAGTTTTTCAGAAAGTCATCTTTAGATCAGACCTCATTTTTCAGGCAGACTAGAAGCAGCATTGGCAGGGCAGTTAAGAGTATGGACTTTGTTTCCAGACTGCCTGGATTCAATCTGACTTTGCCACTTAATTTTAGATAATATCTCTGTTTCTCAATTCCTTATCTACAAATGAGTGTGGTGATGGTGTTTATTTAGGCAGTGTCTAACAGAGTAAGTACAATACATGTTCACTTCCATATTTATTTTAAGAAATAATTGTATTCGGCCCTCCCTGGTGGCACAGCGAGTTAGGACACAGCACTGCAAGCTGGTGGCAGCTGCTTCAGTGCAAGTTTGATCCCTGGCCCCAGAGGTGACCCACATGGCATGGCAGACCTCTCCTGACCCTCTCGCTGTTCCCCTCAGCAGTGTACTTCATCGATTTGCCTGTTCTACTCCCCACTTTGTCTCTGTGAATTCTTTCACAGCCCCTGCACCTCTGGCCCGTACCCCAGTTCAGTTCTGTATGCATAAATAAATAAACCTTTTTAAAAAGAAAGAAAAAATTTTATTCACCCCATAGCAAGTAGGTGTTCCATGGGTATAAACCAACTCCTGCATAAATAAATAAATCTTTTTAAAAAGAAAGATCCCATAGCCAAACTAGTGCCTGAGAGGTGTCCCCAAGTCTTAGAACGAAAGTCTCATGAAAGCTGCAGTTTCCACAAGCAGCCTCAGAAGTCGTTATATTGCTAACAGCAGGTTGCCATGGCCTAGGGACTGGCTCTCCAGGGTGTGAGCACCACTCAAGGGGCACTGTCTCCTTTACCGGAGTTAGGCCAGCCCTGGAACTGAGTAAGCCTGTGCACTGTAGCTACCAGTGCAACATAGGCTACCATGTGCAGAAAGGGCTAGAGACATGCTGGATACAAATAACAGTCTGTAGCTAGTGGGGATGATGGAGTTTACTCGTGGTGTTTGAATAACAGAACTTTTGAGAAGTCCAGTATAGATATATTATTGGAGCAGTGACTGTAAGATTCTCTTTATTTACTTGATTGTTGGTCTAAGACAAGAAATCCAGAGCTAAAAATTTAGCCCTGGTTTCCACTAAATTTTTTTCCCTTTTTTAAAAAGATTATCTGGGGCCCTCCCTGGTGGCGCAGCGGGTTAAAGCACTGCACTGAGAAACTGAAGCCACTTCCACATGAGTTCGATCCCCGCCTGCCCCGGAGGTGACCACATGGCGCGGCAGACCTCTCCTGGCCCGCCCGCTGCTCCCCTCAGCAGTGTACTTCGTCCATCTGCCTGTTCTGCTCCCCACTCTGTCTCTGGTGAATCCTCTCACCCTCCGCAACTCTGGCCTGTACCCCAGTTCTGTACAAATAAATAAATAAATCTTTAAAAAGATTATCTATCTATCTCTCTATCTATCTATTCTATCCATGCATGCATATAAGAATTGGGGTGTAGACCAGAGATGTGGGGTAGGGGAGAGTAAGAATATTCACCAGACATAGCATGGAGCAAAACAGGTAGACTGACTGAAATACACAGAGGGGAGCAGCAGGCGTGACAGGAGAGGTCTGCAAAACTTGTGGATCAGCTCCCTGGCCTGGCAAGGGATGGAACCGGTGCTGTGGTGGCTGTGGTTTGCTTCATAGAGCTGAGATTTAACTCTTTACACCACCAGCGAGGCCCTCCATGAAACTTTTAAGGTGATGTGAATACTCTAAATAACGACACCTGTCTTCTGGTAGGAATTACACTGCCAAAAATAATTTTTTAAGTTAAAGACCTATCTGTAGCAGCACAGAAAGAGTGTTTGGACAATATTGTTTTTGTTGTTGGGAGAGGGGGAAACCACCCTATTCTTCTATACCACATTGTTTTAGAAATCTGTGTTTTCTTGAAGGAACATCACTAATGGTGTCAAAATACAGCTTTTAGCAGGTTACTCTAGCATTTGGAGAAACCTTGAGCTCTACTTGGTATTTCAGTCCACTAAGTGGACTGAATATTTTGTGATTCTTTTTGTCAAGCAAGTATGAATTGATAAACAGCAAGCTAAAAGCTTATAATAGGTGTCTATTTATAGAAGGCTATTCATTTTAGTAGGGTAAATGTGAATATACCTCAAATCCATCTTAGACTCATTCTTTTCCTCAGCAAAAATGGTTGTCCTTTTTGTTTCTCATCTTTTCCCTCTGTACAATTCTATGCTGAGGTATAATGGAAACATGTCAGTACTGCAAGAATATGCTATATAGTTGAAGAAAACATTGGAATATACAGTTTCAAAGTTGGGTGCAGTGAGCGAGATAATTCTTCTAAAGTTTAATGACTATAGACGTAGGTGCTTTTTTCTATCTGCACACCCTTTTATTTCTCATAGTTTGGGAGGAATTAGGAGAGAAAATATTGGGCATAAGGATAGCATTCCCCATGAGTTTCTTAGGATTTTAAAGCTAGAGATAGCAGCAGTAATCATTTTTCTAGTTTGCCATCTTATTTTCTAGATAATAATAATTAAGGGATTTAATCAGGATCACAAGACTATTTGACAAGTATGGAGGTTATAGAGATGCTAGAATATGGGGAGAATACTGCGATTCTTCAGCACAATAGTGAAAGCATATTCTTCATGTCTTTTGATACAAGTCCATACATGAGTAAGAAATGACTGATTCTCAAAGAGATAGAGGTAGAATGTGTATAAGAAGAATTTAAAGGGACAGATTTTTCAAGTCATAGGTTTTCGGCTCTATCAAGGGGTGTAACAGATTATAGCGAAGGGGCCAACAATGGGTGGGGACGTAACTTTTCTTTCAAGAAAAATTACAGGCACAAAAAAAGTTTTAAAAAATATTATTGTAAAAAAAAAAATATTATTGTATGTGATGAAAAACCTTCCATATAAATCCCAATCTTAAATGTAACTACAGTTAATAGTTTCTTCCATGTCTTCCTGGAAACATTGTATTTGAATGTATAAGAATATGTTATGTGTATTAATGGAAGCCTGTTGTAGATGCCATTCTGCACTTTTTGGGTTTTATTTAGTATACTTAGAGCAATCTCTCTCTTTCTCTTTTTTTTTAAGATATACATAGTGTTCTATATAAAAATGGTACCATGAATATTTAACTAATTCCTTATTGATAGCTATTATTTCAAGTGTCTGCCTTTTTTTTTTTTTTTAAGATTTATTTATTTATGCATACAAGAGCTGGAGTACAGGCCAGAGGTTTGGTGGGTGAGAGGATTCACCAGAGACAGAGTGGGGAGCAGAACAGGCAGACAGACTCAAATACACTGCTGAGGGGGGCAGCGGGTAGGTCAGGAGAAGACTGCCATGCCATGTGGTTCACCTCCCTGACCCGGGATCAAACTTGTGCTGCAGTAGCTTCATAGTGCTGTGCTTTAAACCGTTGCACCACCAGGGATGGCTCTCAAGTTTCTGCTTTTAAAGCAAAGCAACAATAACATCCTAGTATGTGTTTGGTATAGCCAAGTATATCTATAGGATAAATTCTTAAGCATGGAATTAATCAAGGGTGTGTGTGTTCTAGATTTTGATAAGTAAGCTGTCAAAGAGACTAAATTTGTTTATATCAAGTGTATATATTTAGATAAGTGCCCTTGGTATTTATGAAAAATATACTTATTGTAAGCACTATTACAGTGTCACTTGGTTTGAATCTAATGAAACTCATGTTTGTTTCTTGTTTTTTACCTGAAGCCTGTGCCTACCGCACTGGCTCAAGTGGATAGAGAAAAGATCTATCAGTGGATCAATGAGCTGTCTAGTCCTGAGACGAGGGAGAATGCTTTGCTGGAACTAAGTAAGAAGCGAGAATCTGTTCCTGACCTTGCACCCATGCTATGGCATTCATTTGGTACTATTGCAGCACTTTTACAGGTGGGTAAATGTATCTATAACTGGTACTTCAATCCTGTTACATCACACTTAGGTGTCTCTCTACCTCTGTCTAAATGATTGTGAAGATTTTAGAAAGATTATAAGAATTTACTTATAAAAAAAAGTGTGTTGTGATAAAGATTCTTGGGTAATACACAAGAGATTTATTTATTTTGAGATTAAAAAATCTGTATTTTTTTTAACAAGTCCCTCCTCCCTACTCCCAGGTGATTCTGATGTAGGTGGTCTAAGACTATACTTTGAGAACTAACTTTAGGAGAACTACAAAATGATTCTTCATGGCAGGTGGCAAAGGTGAAATGTAAAGTATAAGGGCCTTCCTGGTTGCTTAGGTGTTAAATCTCAGTGCTCACTACAGCCTGAGTTCAATCCCATGGCCTGGGAGCTAACTTATGTATGGCACAGCAGACCACTCCTGTTTTGCCCAATGCTCCCCTTAGCAGTGTATCTCAGTAAATCTGCCTGTTCTACTCCCTACTTTGTCTCACCCACCTTGCACAGCCCTGCCTGGCACCTCTGGCCTAGACCCCAGTTCTTCTATGCAAAAATTTCTTTAGAAAAGTAACATATACATACTACAGAGTACATTCTGGGGAAACAAAATGTTAAGATAAAGAGAAAAGTTGCTGTAGAATGAAAGGTTAGGTACACTGAGACATCAAAGAATAGAAAACTAATTTGGTTCTGACCAACATGACCCTTACAATAAATTGATATGGTATAATCTTTAAGATATCGAGGTAGTAGAATGATGATCTGTTGCTCAAAATACCTAATATTTGTTTGTTTATTTTTGCACAGAACTGGAGTATAAACCAGAGCTGGTGGGGGGAGGTGAGACGCGGGGAGCAAAATAGACAGATCTACTAAAATGCACTGCTAATGCCTTTTGCAGCAACAAGGATGGAGCTGGAAGGGATTGGGTTTAATGAAATAAGCCAGAAAGTAAAAGAAAAATATCAGATAGTTTGACTCATAGCAGGGGCATAAGGGACCAAGGGAGAAAAAAATAATAATAATGAACAACTATATATCAGAGACATTTTATAAGGGTGGAGTAGGGAATGGGATCAAAAATGGGACGGGGCGGGGGAGGTTGGTGCATGGGACTATGGTGATGGCTCACTGGTGATTGGGTGATGGGAAGCCCACGGGGATTGCAGCTGAGATGGAAAAAGACACAAAGTGATGTAAAAATAAACTATAATAATAATAATAATAAAAATACAGTGCTGGGCCCTCCCTGATGGTGCAGCGGGTTAAAGCACAGCACTGGGAAGCTAAAGCCACTTGTGCATGAGTTCGATTCCCGCCTGCCCCGGAGGTGACCACATGGTGTGGCAGACCTCTCCTGGCCCACCCGCTGCTCCCTCAGCAGTGTACCTCATCGATCTGCCTGTTCTGCTCCCCACTCTGTCTCTGGTGAAGCCTCTTGCTGCCCCTAAGCCTCTGGCCTGTACCCCAGTTCTGTATGCACAAATAAATCTTTAAAAAAAAAAAAATACACTGCTAAGAAGAGCAGTGTGAAATAGGACAGGTCTGCTGCCACCTGTGGGTTAGCTCCCGAACCAGGGATCCAAGTCAGACGGTCATGGTGGGCCATTGTGGTGGCAGTGCTAGGACACCAGGGAGGCCCAACTAATAATTATTTTTGTAATCTGTAAATTTATATTCTACCCCTGCTGTACATAGCCAAGAAGCTAATCTTTCTTTTAGGAACGTTTCTATGTAAAATGCTATTGAAATAAATGGAATGATATTTAGTAAGTGATCACCTTTTACAGAGAATAGTCATTATTTTGTTTGTTCATATCCCTACTCTTAAACCAGTGTTCTTTTTTTTCCTTTTTTCATTTGCTGTCTGACCATACTCAAACTTCTTTATGAGTCACTATAGTGCCTTGCTTTCTCTTTCTACACCAACTCTCTCATCACCATACTTAAAGGGGTGTGTTGACAAAAGAAGGGATTATAAATGTAAATTGATTACTATGAATAATGCCTCAAGTAATCTGAAAGCCTCAGCAGATACAGGGTGTAAAAGGAGGTACATTTGCTTCCGCAGAAATCTTCCTAGAGACATGTAAAAATATCAAAATATCTCAGCATATTTAGCCAAGTATGTATGTGGTTAAATGACAAGAATATTTTATTTCTGCTCCCTCTTTGATGATTCCAGTTTTACAAGGTATGTGGAATTAGAGAGCTTTAAGTTTCTTATTTTAGTACCATGAGAATGAATTTTATAGTAAGTTATTCCTTGTACATCTGGTGCTGATCCCCCCCCCTTTTTTTTTTTTTAAGGAAATTGTAAATATTTATCCATCTATCAACCCGCCCACCTTGACAGCACACCAGTCTAACAGAGTTTGCAATGCTCTAGCATTACTGCAGTGTGTGGCATCACACCCAGAAACCAGGTAAATGCTTTGGATAAGTCTCTGGGGAAAGGTCTGTATCAAATGTAATCCTAAACTTTTTCTGTGTAATAGGAAGAAGTACATGCAAGACAGTGCATGTGTGGGAGTGTGACTCTTCAGGACTCACATTTACTTTTTTTCCCCCTAAAGAATTACTGGTTTCTAATTTACCATATGTTGATGTAATAATGATATAATATTGTTTAACTTACTTTTTCTTTAAAGATTTATTTATGCATACAAGAACTGGGATACAGGCCGAAAGTGTTGTGAGTGAGAGGATTCACCAGAGACAGAAACGGGGAGCAGAACAGGCAGATTGACAAAGTACAGTGCCTAAGGGAGCAGCAGATGGGACAGGAGAGGTCTGCCACGCCATGTGGGTCTTCCCTGGCCAGGAACCAAACTCATGCTGCAGTGGCTGCCATTTTAACCTGTTGTACCACCAGGGAAGGCCCTAACATACTCTTTTTAATTAGTTTTGTTGTTTTTTCTTATTATAGTAAAATACAACATAAATTTTACTATTTTAACTGTATTTGTAGAATAATGGTACTAAATACATTCATAATGTATAGCCACCGCCACCGTGCATCTCTATAACTTTTCACCTTAAAAAAAAATGAAACTGTCCACCCAGTAGGTGATAACTCACCGTTTCTCTAAACTCCAGCTTCCGTCAACCACTGTTTTTCTTTCTGTCTTTTGCGTTTAACTACTTGAACACTTAATCATAAAGGATTTATTTCTCTGATTGACTTATCTTACTTAGCATGGTGTCCTTAAGTTTCATCCATGTTGTAGCGTGTGTCAAATTTCCTTCCTTTTTAAAATAAAAAAATACCATCATATTGCTTTTTAACCATTCAGAATAGTGAATTTTGAAGGAGTGGTGGTCACATCTGAGAGAAGGTAGGGAATACAGCCCCTTTGTGAACCTGTGGTAGGCATTGCTGTGCCATAAAAGGCACAATGCATTGCATTTATTGAGAGTAATTTTATAAATATTTGAAGGAACTTTTCTCACTGAGCCCAGATTTGACTTCAGAATCTAGATAACCTATGTAATGGGTGAGCGTTGGCATACAATTTGAAATATTAAAATCTGAGTGCTAGATCGACAGTGACCCTTGAAGGCTCTAGAAAAGTTACTGAGGGTTTTTCGAGAAATGCAAGAGTACTTTGATAAAAATTTTGAGTGTTGCTGTAAGTTTTTATCTCACAGTAATGAGAATTGCTATTATCAAAAAGAAAAACAGGGCCCTCCCTGGTGGCACAAGGGGTTAAGCTACAGCTGGATGAAGCTCTCTGCAGCCACTGCAAAGCAAGTTCGATCCCTATGCAGGGAGCTGACCCACATGGCACAACAGGCCTCTCCTGTCTCTCCCATTGCTCCCCTCAGCGATGTGTTTTAGTAGATATGTCTGTTCTGATGAATCTTCTCACCCCCTGCACCTCTGGCCTGTACCCCAGTTCTTGTATACATAAGTAAATTATTAAAAAAAAGAAAAGCAAGTATTAGTGAGTATGTAGAAAAAAGAGAACGGAAGCATACTTTTGGGGGGAATGTAATTTGGTGCAGCCACTGGAAAACAGTACAGCGGCTCCTTACCATATGATTCCAACTGTTTAACTTCTGGCTGTTTTTCTGAAGAATATGCAAACAGTAATTTGAAAAGATAACCTTAATCCTATGTTCATTGCAGCATTATTTATTTATAATAACCAAGAAATGTTAACAATGTAAATTCCCATCAGTAGATGAACGGATAAAAAGATGGTACACACAGGCACACATATACCTACACACACAGTGGATTACTGTTTAGCTATGAGAAAAAGATGAGGTCTTGCTCTTTGGGACAACTTGGATGGCCAGTACCCTCAAAGATACTGTGCTGAGTGAAATAAAGCAAATGGAGAAAGATAGATACTATATGATTCTACTCATGTGGCATATTAAGAACAAAGCAAACAAACAAAACAAAACCCGATTTACATAGAACAAATTGGTGGTTATAGAGGGGAAGGAAGAGTGAAAGGTGACTAAACAGAGTCATTTATATGATTGTACATGAAAACTAGACTTTGATGGTGGGCATGATATGATGTATACAGATGATGGATTTAAATGCTGTATACCAGAAATGTAAATAATGTTATAAATCGGTGTTACATCAAAAATGTAGGAAAAAAATATCTTTGAGTATTGGCTCTCCTGTGAAGTGTAGCTGTAAGGTAAATTAGTAGACTGATTTCCTGTTTGTTTCCTGATATATTAGCTGTAGATTTTGATATGTGTGAAATGCCCTAACCAAAAAAGGGAAAAGTATGCATTTAAGATAAACCTATTAATGCTGCTTTATTTTGTTGTATCAGTTATAAGATTTTGTCTCAATGTGCCTGCGGTGTTTATTACTTAATGGTAAGTTTGTTGGAGGAGCACATCTAGAAGAATCTCTTGGGAACATGATTGTGTTTTATGAACTAGTTTTTAAAATCTGTACTTGGGTATTTTATAAGTTTTTAATATGTTTGGTGTTGATTACAAGGAGAATCACATATTCTCTTAACCATCGTCCTAAACTCAGGTTTTTCTGCCCTGGTACCATCGATATTTTGGTCTAAGAAGTCTTTGCAGTGGTGGGGGTTGTGGGCAGTATCAGTATCATGTACATTGTAAGATGTTTAGCAGCGTTCCTAACCTCTGCCAGCTTTGGTTGTGACATTCAAAAATGTCTGCCAACCAATTTGCCACATCTTCCTAAGGGTAGAAGCATCTGTGAGCTGCACTGATGACCCAGCATCAGCTTTTTTAAAGGATTTCTCGCATAGACAATGTTTAGATCTAAAGAACTTACCACTTGGAATTTGAATGTTCAGAATCCTTAGAATTAATTATAAGCTCTAAATTATTTTTTATTGTAGGTCAGCATTTCTTGCAGCACACATCCCACTTTTTTTGTACCCCTTTTTGCACACTGTCAGCAAAACACGTCCCTTTGAGTATCTTCGGCTAACCAGTCTTGGAGTTATTGGTAAGTTATTAAGATTGTTTTCCAAGTCTAAAATCTTCATAATAATGGCTTAAATTGGGTGTTCTGTCTTATCTTTTGCAGTTTTGTTCATTAATTGTTACTTTGAGGTAGAGTTTTTACCAATGAATGTGATGACTTTTATGAAGCCCCTTTCTGAGCCTTATTAATGAGGCTGTAAGTCCCAACATCTAGGATTAAAGTCAGGATATAAATAGAAATTTTACTGGAATTTTAGGGAGAGTGAAAACTAGTCAACAAAAAAAGAGTTTTATAACAGTAATCACTGCAGTTGGATGATGTAAGAAAAAAAGCAGTGGAATAATGAAAAAATACTTGGACAACATAAAACTAGTTATCCATTCGTGCATATATTTTTTTGAAACTTCAGTTTCGAGTTAATTTAGAAAACAAGCAGAGGGGACTATTTCAGCCAAGTCTTATTTTTTTTAAACAGGGTAAAAAGGCAAACTTGAATATAAATGAAATGACATGTTAGAAATCATAAAATATTTTTGAACTGAATAAAGTAAAAACAACAAAATTTGTAGACTGAGCTAAAGCAGGTCTTAAAGGACATTTTATAGCATTAAACACTTATACTGTAAGGAAGGAATGATCTAATCACCATAATAAAGAAGAAATTAGCTGCATGAACAAGTTAATTTTAATTGGAAATTCTAACTTTGAACTTTTAATTTTGTCTATATTTTCTTTAGGGGCCCTTGTGAAAACAGATGAGCAAGAAGTAATCAACTTTTTATTGACAACAGAAATTATTCCTTTGTGTTTGCGCATAATGGAATCTGGAAGTGAACTTTCTAAAACTGTGTGTGCTTTTTTTTTTTCCTTTAAGGTTTATTTATTATGTTTACAGAACTGGGGTATAGGCCAGAGGTGTGGTGGGTGAAAGGATTCACCAGAGACAGAGTGGGGAACAAAACAGACAGATCTACTGAAATACACTGCTGAGGAGCGCAACGGGCTGGTCAGAAGAGTTCTGCCACTTCATATGGGTCAGCTCCCTGGCTGGGGATTGGCCTCTTGTGCTGCAGTGGCTTCTAAGAGCTTCATAGTGCAGTGCTTTAAGCTGTTGTGACACCAGGGAGAACCCCAACAATGTGTACTTTTAACTTATATGCTACATTGTGTTGGCTCTTAATCTATTTGTTTTTTATCCTGATTTCATTTTCTGCCTTCCTTTGGGCTTTTTTGAAACCTTTATAAATGTTTTCCCTATTGAGTAAAAATTATGAAATGAGTGCTTACAGCCCAGAGCCTTCAGAAGACTAGCAGGTTATACAGAGCCTCCCTGGTGGCCAAGAGATTAAGTCTGAGCACATCACCACTACGGACTGATTTCAATCCCTAGTCAGGGAACTATTGCACATAATAGTATAGCAGACCTCTCTTGTCTCACCCGCTGCTCCTCTTAGCAGTATATTTCAATAAATCCACCTGTTCTGCTCCCCACTCTGTCTCTAGGGAACACTCTCTCACAAACACACCCCACCACATCTCTGGCCTACACCTCAGTTCTCTGTAAAAAATTAAAATAGATATGAAGTTTCTGAATCTACTCACTGCCTAGCCTTATGTCTTCTAGTATTGCAGTGAAGTCTTGGGCCAGTCTGATTATTTCCCTTTGATTTATTCTGGTGTCTTGCTTCAGCAGCATTATTATGTGATACATATCTCTTTGCTCTCTAGTGACTTTCTGTTCTATCCCAGTAAAATGATTCCCACAGTTGAGTCTGATGAGCAGCCAAGAAAAAAAATCATAACAGTGGTTCGGCTTGAACTCGCCTAGTATTTTTTTTTTTAAAGGTTTATATATGCATACAGAACTGGGGTACAGGCCAGAGGTGCAGGGGCGGCGAGAGGCTTCACCAGAGACAGAGTGGGGAGCAGAACAGGCAGGTCGACGAAGTACACTGCTGAGGGGAGCAGCAGGCGAGTCAGGACAGGTCTGCCACGTCATGTGGTCTCCAGGACAGGCGGGAATCGAACTCATGCGGAAGTGGCTTTAGCTTCTCAGTGCTGTGCTTTAACCTGCTGCGCCACCAGGGAGGGCCTCACCTAGTATTTTTTAACTCCTATATTAGAGTTAAGTTGAGGAAAATGTTCAGCATAATAGTATTTCTTGTACTATGAATATATCATCAAGTTGTGGATAATTCATGATTATTTTGGGAAGAATGAGTAGTTGAAAAACAAATCTTAGCAACATTTTGAACTCTTAATTTTGTTTTATTCCACTCAGGTTGCTACATTCATCCTCCAGAAGATACTCCTAGATGACACTGGTTTGGCTTACATATGTCAAACATACGAGCGATTCTCCCATGTTGCCATGATCTTGGTAGGTCCTTTTATCTACCTCCTGTTTGTGATTACTTCTGTTCAAAGGACTTAGTCCCTTTGCCATTGACACTGAGCAGCTTCAGTCCTCCCCACTAGAAATAACCACAGAACCTGCCTGACACAGTGATTCTTGGAATATCTGATGTCCAATGTCAACTAGAATATTCTGTGTTTTTTTTCCTACCCTACCAAACCCTGTTTGGGGGGAACTAGGGTAAGATGGTCCTGCAGCTATCCAAAGAGCCTTCTGCCCGTCTGCTGAAGCATGTAGTGAGATGTTACCTCCGACTCTCAGATAATCCCAGGTAAACATTTACAGGATTTCTAGGATTTGGGGGAAGTATTCTGGCTAATTGTTGCCCCATTTCGTAGCATAACTCCTTTATCTTTAGTAGAAAGACGAAATCTATTTAGTTTTCCTAAGACAACTTGATGAATTCCTTTTAAAATCTGAAGTTCTGAATTTAAAAATCCATCACAGTTGTATGTACCCACTGTAATTTTGTAATTTCCCCATTGTTTACTTTGTTTATCTGTACCCTGCTTTAAAATTCCAAAGTCCAGATAATTTCCAGGGAAGCTTTATGATTCATTACTCCTGTGGCCTGAGCTTTCTATAGCTATCTAAATTGTCAGAAAGTGAAGCATGTTTTCAAAGATCTCTTAGAAAGGGAAAATGCTTTTTTTGAGCTCTTGAGTTATAGTTCCAGTTCTCTACTTGATTCCTATAAGGTCCTTGAGGTGGTTATTTTTATCTTCTTACACTCATAATCTTCCTGCCAGATATCAGACATTGTAGGTATAATGCACTTTAGAAATGTTTGACCTTTTGCTTTGTTAATCCATAATTTATGCTGAAAGCCAGTTGCTCAGATTCTATTAAACCACATAATGGGGTAATTTTTTGTTCCTAAGAATAGGGATAACTTGATTTAATGTGAACTCAATCTCCTCCTACTGAGATATTCAAACCCTAGCTATTTCTTCTACTGTTTTGTCCTATTCTTCAGTGGTTCCTGTTTTCCCCAGTTTGAAAATGTTTATTTACATTTCTACTTGTGCAAAAAGAATAATCTTAAGTACAAAAGCCATCACTTTGTTTAAAAACAACTTGATATATTGTTAACATTTACCTACTTGAGGTTTTCACAGTTGACTTTCTGCTGGTCATCTTTTAAAGAAAAGGAAACATTTGAAAGTTTAATGAAGTAGCTACCATAGTTTTGTTATTACTGTTCATCTCTTATTGAGGGTTTTAACTATGAAACCAGGAAGCAGTTTTTGTAAATAGACAAATTTGTACTAGTTTAGAATTATAGTTTTTGTTATATTGCGTTACTTTACTGATTTTGGAAATGTTTCATTTACTCTAATCCTTATATTTCTTTTTCCTTATAACCCATATATTTCTAATATGACTATATTAACAGTGTTTATTGTAAAAAATTGAGTTGGTATAAATTGCTGTTTTATTCCACTTTGTTTTGTCATAACATCTTACATTAGGGTCTTTCTGAAAATGTTTGCAAACTACAGATCCTGGAAATCTTTGAGCTATCACTAATAGAAACTTCAAAGAGTTTTGATTTCTTAAAGTAACTTGACAAAGCTGTAGAATACCAGAATTATATGTATTTATGTGTAATAAGGGGGCTCTTACCTGTCCCCCAAATGTGGGTTTATTTGTTGGCCTCCCTGGTTGGTGTGTTTGTTTCTGATGTAGGGCACGTGAAGCGCTCAGACAGTGCCTCCCTGACCAGCTGAAAGACACAACCTTCGCCCAGGTGCTAAAAGATGACACCACCACAAAACGCTGGCTTGCACAACTGGTGAAGAACCTGCAAGAGGGCCAGGTCACCGATCCCCGGGGTATCCCTCTGCCCCCTCAGTGATGATCTCCTGGCCCCTCCCAGTGCTCCCCCCAAGTTGGGGGAGGGAGGAGGAACCTGCAAGGAAAACAGCTCAGGTTTTATCGCCGACCAGGAATAGACAACCTCAATGCAGAACTGCACTGGAGAAAAGGGGCAGTGTACCCCGCTGAGGTGTGTGAGCTGCATCTCAGGCTGCCTTGTGGACCTGGGCTCCCTCTGCTACCCCAGGAATTGGGCTCCTGACACAGCAGTCTGCCACCTCAGCCCCAGGAGGGTGTCAACACCAGCAAATGCTGTACTTGCAGCAAGCCCAAGCTTCCCCACCTCTCTCTCGCCACTGGCAGGGAGGGGAGACAGTGGTGACAGCAGCTGCACACTAGGCATGGTAAACGCCTGGGACCAAGCCATGTGGCGTGCGTTTGTTTGTTTTTGCCTTCCTGGAAGATTAAGATTTGTCTCTTCATTCTCTCAGTATTTGTTTACTTTGGTGTTTTGTTTATTTTTAATCTCAGAGAGGTGTGTTTTGTGGACACAAGCTGTAACATTCAGCAAAATGTCAGTTGGCGCTGTTTACAAGTTTGTTAGCTGCATAAGCTCAATAAAAAGTTGGTCTGGGCATTACATCCCCTCTAGCAGCTACATCCCCTCATGAGCTGTTGGGAGGATGGGGAGGCAGGGGAAAGATACAGAAGCCAAAGGACAGCAGGAAACACCCACCACATATTTCCCTTCCTTTCTCCAGTCTTCTACCCCCAGTTCTGAATGCCGCAAGGACCTTAACTTTGTTTCTGGCTTTAGCTGCTAGCTTTTCCAAATCTCAGTGCTTTTCCCCTTTTCACTTTCCTCTATTTAAACAAATGTCTTAATTCATCAGGTGGTCCTGGAAAAGATATTATATTGGGGGAGGAGGAGGCACAGGGGACCTCACCATCAAATCCTTAAGGGTATTTTCTGAATGACTTAATAGGGGAGTGCCTGAGGTTAAGATGATAGGCTACTTGATGCCACTCTTTGTTCTGGTGTGCGTTTCTGCAGCTCCATCTGTCTTCATGACTGTACTTGCAGTATTGCCCAAGTGAGTTAATTTTTCAGATTTGAGATGGGGGCTGGACTCTGCTTACTCAGCCCTTTATTTTTATTTTTTTGACACATTCCCTTTTGGTCTATGGAAATTAAAGGGTTGCCACAATAATATTTTCCACTTCTTCATATTTTGTCAGAGAATCCCCCTTTCTTCTTTGAAGGTTTAGATTACTTACTTGTAATCCAGAGGCTTGAATCTACCACCCACTATAAACTGTCTTGCTTCCCCCCTGCCTCCCACTGCCAACAACTGTTCTCTCACCCCATCTCCAGTCAAAACTGGGATGTTAATCCGACTCTAGAGAAGGACCAAGTATTTTCTGTGCACATCTCCCTGGATTAAAGGACTCTGAATGAGTTTGGGGAAGACCTATCAAGGGCAGGCTCAGAAAAACCTTTGCAGAGGCAGTTTTGCCAACCCAAGGGCTCTTTCAAGCCGACTTTCACAAAGGGAGCCGGCCTTGTTAGTTGGCTTCTGTCTCTTTAGAGCCAAGAATCATAATTCAGTGACCTGTGTGTGGAAGGGTAGACTAAGCCCTGCCTTCCAAAACGAAGAGGAGTGCCAAGCCAGCTCTCCATAGTCTCAAGTCTGAAGAAAAGAGGTCTTGGAGAAAGCAGCGAACAGCATGGACTGAATAGACAGTTTGACTCCCTTCAGACTGTGGTTTGTTCTGGAGAACCCAGCTACGGTAACCCTGATTTTTGCCAACCGCCTTCCTGCTGAGCCAAAGTTTTTTCATACCCCCTTCACTGGGGAAGCAGCTGAGGCCCAGGGCCTTGCTCCCTGGGGAATTCTCTCCATCTCGGTGCATTGGCCTGTTACCGTGCCAATAATGTCTTAATTCTTGTTCCATCTATTCTCAGCTGGCCTTGAACCCCATGTAGGTATTTGAGGGAGGGGTATAAATGGGTATTATTACTTGCAGTTGATCCTGATGATGTGTGTATGAAGAGCTCCCTCCCCTTATTTTGTGTTTTCCATTCCTCTCACTCCCTCATCAGGATTGAAATAAAGCGTGCTTTTGTTTTTACAAAATAGTTTTTCCTTTAAATTGGTGATTTCGTTTTGTCAGTGTGGAGATACCTAGGTACTTTGGTTAGATGATCCCCACCATCCCTGCCTGGGCCTGTGTCTGCACATACACACTGCCCTGCCCAAGATGTTGAGTCCTTTGAGAATAGGTTCTTTGGGAGGAGAGCCCTGTTCACTTATGAAAACTGGGATGCTGAAATGGTGCCCAGTAGTATCTCTGGAACAGGGCCTTACTCCTGGCTGTAGTGACCAGAATTTGGTACTTAAGTGTTTTTTTTTTTTTTTAAAGCAGTACAAGTTCGAAATAACTAAAGGTCAGAGGAAATCAGGAAAAAGCTTTGTAAGATAAGCTATCAACAAAACGTGTAGGCAAAGCAATGCTTAAAACAAATACACAACTACATTTACACATCACAAAAGGAAAGCTGAATTCAGTGATACTAATTTTCATGTCAAAAAAATTGGTATGAAATAGCAAATTCAGAAATTAGAAGGAAATATATATTAAAAAGTGAGAAAATGTACAATAAAATGATTCCCTTGGAAGCATCGATAAAATTAACAAGTCCTTGGCAGACTGGTCAGAAAGGATAAAAACAAGTGCATATCTTACAGGAATAACGAATCTTATCAGTCACACACTTTCAAAGTCTAGAAAAGAGGAACCTCTCAATTCACTTTTGAAGTATAACCCACCTTCTAAAACATGTCAAGGAAAAACAGGCTAGCCTTTCCCACAAATGTAGATGTAAAGTTTCCAAATAAAATAAGTAAATCCAGCAATATAAGAAAATGATAATACATCTAATTTGGGTTTGTTGCAAAAATGTGATTGAGTCAATACAAAACTAAATACAAAGAAACTGTTGCCATAAGGAAAGTAGTTTTTAAAAGGCAAAAACCAGGAATAGAAGGATGCATCCAAAAAATAATACCAACAAGGATTCCATAGTCTCATTGATTAAAATCATTTTCCATGAGATAAGGAAGGAGACAAGGAAGTTCACTGTCAAATCTGTCATTACATTGGTCCCACCCAACATGATAAAAGCCAAGAAAATCAAGACAGGATTATAAAAGAGATGGGCAACATGATTGTGTACCTAGATAAAATGCAAAAGAATATACAGACTCTTAGGATTTAATTCAGCAAAGTCACAATAGTCCGTACACAAAGTATCAATCTCATTTCTAAATAAAATATTTCAAAAATATGTAATAATAGTTTAAAGAGATGTCAAAGGATAGGTAGGACCTTTACATTGAAAACAAACTCAAAAAAATGTAACAAGAGCTGGGGTGTAGGCCAGAGGTGCAGGAAGGTAAGGATTCACCAGAGACAGTGGTGAGCAAAACAGACATCTGAAATACACTGCTGAAGGGAGCAGCGGGTGAGACAGATCTGCTGTGCCAAGAGGGTCAGCTCCCTGGCCACTATGGAACTCATGCTGCAGTTGCTGTGGATCGTTTCATAGTGCTGAGACTTAAACTCTTATGCCACCAGGGAGGCCCCACAACAAACATTCTTGAAAGAAATTAAGCATCTACCTGAATGGAAAGCTGTATCATCTCCATAAACTGGAAAGCAATATTGATGGTGTCAATGATCTCAAATGACCTACTGATGAAATTCTTAGTAAAATCATGGCAGATATATTTTTCATAAAATATGCATGGAAATTGAAACAGCCACAGAAAACTTGAGCCAAGAACAAAATTGGAATCTCTCCACTCCCAGACACCTTTCTTGAACTTCCAACTTGTAGTAGCACCTTTTGTAGATACGGCTCATAAATAGCAACACTTGTGCTTTGTTTTATGACTTTTTCCTAAAAGTTTTGTTTCACATTAGAGTATAGTACTTTGTATTTTTCATTCTAACTTCTGTCATCTTTTCTTTATACCACCTTTGCCCCTTATTTAATTTTTAAATTTTGCTGAAATAATGGAGAAAATATTTCTGGTCTTTTAAAATTATATAGCCTGGGCCCTCCCTGGTGGCGCAGCGGGTAAAAGCACAGCACTGAGAATCTAAAAGCCGCTTCCGCATGAGTTCGATTCCCACCTGCCCCGGAGGTGACCACATGGCGTGGCAGACCTCTCCTGACCCGCCCGCTGCTCCCCTCAGCAGTGTACTTCGTTGATCTGCCTGTTCTGTTCCCCGCTCTGTCTCTGGTGAAGCCTCTCGCCGCTCCTGAGCCTCTGGCCTGTACCCCAGTTCTATATACACAAATAAATCTTTAAAAAAAAAAAAAAATTATATAGCCTGGCTTTCAATTCTACAGGTAGTCTCATTTCATGATTTCTTAAGTGGGATTTAATATTTTGAGTTGATCAACGAGAACATGGGCTTTATTAGAAGTTTGAGTCATGGGCCCTCCCCCGTGGCACAAGAGGTTGAAGCACAGCATTAGGAAGCTATCCATAGCCACTGTAGTACAAGTTCGATCCTGGCCAGGGAGCTGACCCACATGGCCCAGGGGACCTCGTGTCTCGCCCACTGCTCCCCTCAGCAGTGGATTTCAATCAATCCGCCTGATGAATCCTTTCATACCCCGCACCTCTGGCCTGTCCCTCAGTTCTTGTTTGCATAAATAATAAATCTTTAAAAAAAGAAGTCTTAGTCACTTGTCTGAATGACCTGGGCAACTCTCTGATTCTTCAGTTTAACTGTCTTCAAAGCAGAGCTGCATCTGTCCTGTGTCAGGAGGAGGGTCTAGGCTTGCCTGGGTGCCAGCCCCACATTACAGTGTGTAGGTCTTCCTCTTTGCCATCTGCCCGTTCACTTCAATGCAGGCCTTCTAGGCCTTTCCTGGCATGGTTCCCAGAAAGTCCCGCTGCTGCTGCTGCTGCTGCTGCTGCTGCTGCTGCCATGATCAGGTTTCTGGACCTGTTAATAATAGACAACAGTGGGGGAAGGGCCAGGATCCTATGGAAATAGACACAACCAAGCCAGATAGACAGTTCCCGTGCCTGGGGCCTTGTCTGCTCTGTTCCTGGATCTAAAGTGTGGCCTACAGCAGGCCTGCTCTTACTTTGTGAAGGTCTCCAAATGCCTGCCTCAAAAATCAGTGGACATGATATGAGGAGTACAGGAACACTATGGTAACACTAAAATAGAAAATTTAAGATCCAGTCCCACCCAGAAAATACAGGATGACTGATACCACCCCTTACAGAATACCCAGAAGGGAAGGGGAACGTGGGACAATTAAGTGATGGCAGGCAGGTGACTCAGAGGCAAATCGTGGCCCTCCCTAGTGGCACAACGGGTTAAAGTTCAACACTATGAAGCTCTCCACAGCCACTGCAGCACGAGTTCAATCCCCAGCCAAGGAGGTGACCCATCTGGCACGGCAGGCCTCTCCTGACCTGCCCACTGCTCCTCTTAGCAGTGTTGAAATTTCAGTAGATCTGCCTGTTGTGCTCCCCACGCTGTCTCTGGTGAATCTTCTTACCTCCCCACACCTCTGGCCTGTACCCCAGTTCTTGTATGTGTAAATAATTCTTTTTCTAAAAAAATCATTTCTGTTAAAAAAAAAAAGCCATATATAATGCAGGAACATAGGAAGGGCATAGGAATGAATAGGAGTAATGAATTTATAGGGAGACACGGAGAAGCAAGAACATTATGGTGGGAGGGTAGCAATGGGACAGCAAGGCAAGCAGGGAGAAGCAGCTTCTGCAATCAACACAGTTTAAATGTTTATCTCCTGTTGCCCATGAGTGACCTTCCTCCTCTGCCTCCACCCCTCTGTACTCTTCATCAAAATCTGCCTTCAACAGAGTATGATGCACTCAACCTAGGTAGACATTATGAAAGACCAATAAGGCTGCAAAAAATTGAAAACCTTTCATTGCGAGATATATTTAAGATACAAAACCATAAAAATAAGTGAGTATACAAGGAAGATCATCAGCACTCAGGACTTCAACAGAACTTAGGCAGGGTTACAGAAACCAGCTATGTGCCTTATTCCTTCAGAACTCCCTCCTCCCCAAAGTAACCACTATCCTGACACTTACGGTAATCACTTAGGATTTCATTTTAGTAGGGCTAGAAGTTTAGCTATAAATAATCACTAATGGTAGGCTATTAGGCAATTGGATGTTAGAGCAAAACATTAGAGACAGATCTTAGCAAACAGTAAAATCATATTTCTTAGAGTTACTTCCTTCCGTGCCTGTGATAAAGGGATCCCACAGTTCAGTGCAATGCTCTATGCCTTCAGTTGCCTTTTTGTCACCCATTGGCCGAGAAATAGCCATACCCTGCAGTTTTCCAAAGACAGAGCAGAAATACCCTGAAGCCAGCTGTCAGGGTTTGGAAGAGTGCTAGGGAATGGTGGTTTCTTTTTTTTTTTTTTTTAAGATTTATTTATCTATGCATACAGAACAGGGGTATAGGCCAGAGGTGCAGGGACAGTGAGAAGACTCACCAGAGATACAGTGGGGAGCAGAGCAGGCAGGGTCAGGAGAGGTCTGCGCCATGTGGGTCAGCTCCCTGGCCAGGAGTCCAATTCGTGCTGAAGCAGCTGCAGCTTTCTACCTTCATAGTGCTGTGCTTTAGCTGGCTGTGACAGCAGGGAGGGCCTGGGTTGGTTGTTCCTGCTGTGGCCATGGAAGTCCAAGATAACTGCCTGAACTTCCCTGGGCCTCGGTTTCTCACTGTGAAGAATGGAGCCATAATAAAGCCCTATACAAGCCCCTGCCCCTCACCGAACTTGGTTCCCTTCATTCTTGGTTTCTATTTCAGCTGCCTGTTCATTCACCCTTGTAAGCAGCTCATTATCTTTCCCTTCCCAGTTGGGTCTCGTGTTCCTCTTTTTGCCTTTGATTTTTATAGGTCATGAGTCTGCTTTATCTCTACACACACTTTTCTAAACATCACCCATTTCTGTCCTTGGCGAACAAATTAGATGTGCTGAACAAAAGCTGGTAGAATGCATGAATGCACGGGAAGAACACGTGACTTGCCCATATATCTCTATGCATCCCTTCAATATTTGGCAAACACCTTGTATATACGAAGATACTAACCCTCCCCTCTGTATTCTAAGATCTCTCCTCTCTTCTCACCTTCCTCCTTTCCCATCCTATTTCTTTCTTCCTTTTAACTCCACCACGGAGTTATAGCAAGTGCCCTGCAAGACAGGATGCAGAGATACAGGAGCAGGAATGGAAACAGACACCGTGGAAAGGAGCCAGATGAAACAAGGGCAAAGACAGCTGGAGAACACGCCAAGAGAGCCCGACAGAATGGAAAGCACTGATTCAGGAGCACTGTAACTCAGCCCTCCTTGAGCTTCACTTTGAAAGCCACAGGATTGGGGTCAGTGAGAGCTGGCTTCCCATGAAGGGCGTCTGGCTCCTCCTCCCTGGAGAAGGTGCTTGTCAATCCCTCCGCTTAGTTTTCTGCTCTCCGGCCTCCCTCACACTGACCAGTATACTGGGCCTTTAAGAGTTGAATAGGCTGCACTGAGGTGAGCGCCCGCACCTCTCCCCCTCACTCCTTCCCTCCCTCCAGCAGCCCAGCGGGTAACTGTGCCAGTCACAGCAGCAAACTGCTGAAGAGAGGAGGGAGCGCAAATCCAAGAGGAGCAAAGGAGCGAAGACACCAGCTGGGTCTCCTTGCCCACTGTGGACTGCATCCGCCCGGCTCCCGCAGGACAGCTAGCCTGCCCACGGTAAGCGCTGGCTGCTCGACCTCCACATGCTTATCCCCCCTGATTAATTTGTACTCAGGAGCCCTTCAACTGAGCCGGCCTAGGCTCTGACCTTCTGGTTCTCTGTAGCAGATCCTCTTTTGACTTCAGTTTTCCTCCTGACTGTGTCAGTCACCTCTTTCTGTGCAACTGCTTGGCAGCCCCAGGCTCCACTGGGGAGGGAGTCCTGCCCCAGTGAGGGAAGAGAGCGCCTTGAGTAGCCCTGCTTTAGCAGAGATTTGTTCAGATTGTTGAGGATTACCAAATGACGTTGGCCAAGACCCCAGAAATGGTAACAGGGAGTACATGACATTCCTGGAGAGAGCCAGGGTTTGAGTTTCTATACCTTGTTCTTAGCCTGCTGAATGGGCCAGGGTGGTTTGCTGACATGGCAGAGTGCTGGAAAAAGCACTTGCTTCTATTCTGACTTTGCCATTCACTAGCTGTGTGACTGAACTGCAACTTCCCAGTCGATGACAGGAAAGAGTTTAGGGTTTCCCCAGGCTAACCTGTGTGTCGGGGTGCTTGATAAAGGTAACATTCCTGAGACCCACCCTTGACAATTCTAACCTGTAGAATTGGGGTGGGACTAAGGGATCTCAACTTTAATACTCTCTGCAGGGGATATTGATACAACCAGAACATCTGAATTATGTTGTAAATAGCCTTTAGTCTTTAACATTCGAAGGCGTGACCTATGGCCAGAGCCACTCTGTCCCCTTTATATGAGTCAGGTGAGACATAATCCTCAGAATCAGAAACAAAAGAGTAGGAAATGACCCTCTTCTTTTCTGCCCCTCAAAGAGGTCTGAGATACCCTGAATTCCACTGTAATGTCATTGACTCCATCAGCAACTCTGCCAAAATCCATGCGTAGGTGACATGAAATGAAACACCTGGAAGCTGAGGCTAAATCTTGCTCAGCAGCTCTGGCCACTTCCTACCTTGTTTTGTGTCTGTTTTCTCATCTGTAATATAGAGATAATTATTCACATGCTCTAGGATCACCATGTACTTGCCTAGGAGAGAACAGCTCAGATAGAATCTCTCTTGCTCTCAGGCTTCATTTCTCTACTCTGCCTCTGTCTCCTGTTCCCACTGCCAGTCCTTTGTCCCTCCTCTACTCACAGCTCCCGCACCGGCTGTAACCACCCTTCCCATTCTCTCAGAGGAAACACCAACATCTAGAACACTGGGGTTCTAAGGTGCATTGGTGTAGACAGTCTCCAAGGACACAGCGGAAAGAAAATGGAGGAATGTGCCACTGAGTATCCGAACCCAAATGTCCTCCTTCCTGGACCACCGTCTCAAAATCTTCCCAGGGGAGGAAACTCAGGGCTGCTGGAAATCAGTGGTGAAAAAAAGAGAGGAAGAAATAGTGGGGAGAAGGATGAATACAGGAGAGCAACAAGAGGCTGATTTAAGTAAGGAAAAAGGGAAGAAGAGAGATGTCGGAGACAGTGCCAGATGTCAAAGTCCAGCTCTGACAGGTGGCTGGTCAGGGGTCTCCCCCCACCCCAAGGATGAGACTGCCTCAGGCGCAATGAGCAGTGTGGAAGACACTGACACTTTAGCTGGTGCAAGTATCTCCTACTGAGCACCTCAGAGGGTCTTTATTTATATGTTAAAGCAGGCAGTGAGATTACATCAACAGAAGCATTGAAACAAAGTAAAAATAATTATTACATATTTTTCATAGTCACTTGGAGACCCCTGTGGCCTGGTACTGGAAAGAAACTTATTTGATCATCTTAAGAAAAACATAAGAAAAAATCAAGGCTTCTAATGTACCTCATTTCCCAGCATAATCAATCACCTGGGACATTTGGTAATGTTTAACCACCTTACTAACTCCCTAACATAGATTCTTATCCCTATAGACTATTGTTCTAAAAATCATGTAATCCTAAGAATATTGCTAATATATTGTTTTCCTAGAATTCTACTATTGCAACTTATCATTCTTATCTAACTCCTATAATCATTGTCTATCTTAGTGTGGTCTAGGCTAAGGGTATCTAACCTCCATGTCACCTGCGAAGTGCTGCCTTTTAGAGCACACCAGAAAATCTACTTATGCGGCAAGCACACCTCCCGGGTGAGATTCCAGTCACTGGCCAGTTAGCTTAACACAGTTTTGTTTCCCATTGTCTTCAGAGGCACAACCTGTTTTTCCTAGCCCAGTGTTAATTTCTGTTATGTATTATGCCAACCAAGTTAATGTAGACAGGCCAATCATATAACCGATTTTAGACTATTATTAACCAAGAACAAATGAGGAAGTTTCAGCAGGCGTTGCTGTGGAGACTCCCATGGTTCTTTGGAGGTTTAGACAACCCCTGGTCTTCTTTGGGAGTCTCCCCAATGCCTGGACCATGTCATAGGCAGCCTTGGTTGTGTGGCCTACGTCAGAGAGAGGATCAGGAGAAAGAAGAGTGAGCTGGGAAGGAAGGGGTCGGGCGGTGTGTGGGGGTGGGGGAAGAATGTGGAAAGAAGGGAAGGCTATCAAGTAGCACATAGTGGGCACAGAAAATGATGCCAGGAAGACAAGGCATCAGTGTGCCTTGCTGATTCTACCTGCTTTCAGCTGGTTCCTATTGAAGGCTCCCACTATGGGCATTCTGGGCTGCTCAGATGGAGGCTTTGACCCTAGTGCCACTTCTGCTACTTAATTCATTTGGCAACCCTGGCAGTTCATGAAACCCCTTTTCTATCAAATGAAGTCCAGCTCTGATATCCTATGCCCCGCCCCCCAAGTTGAAATTGTCTCTCTTATGCCTTCTGACACCTGAGTACAGGTTTCAAATAATGACTCAGGAGTGCAAGCAGGATGAGAAGAGATGCCATGCCTGAGGTTGGAAGAGTTTGACAACAAAAGGGAAAATGATTTTCTCAGACTGATTTGAAAGAAGGAGGACACTGAAGTAGAGGTGTCCAACTACGTGGGCTCGGTTCTCAGGCGCTTGGTCCTCAGGCTTCCATGGTTTCCCACCCTCTTTGCAAAAGCCTGGACACAGGCATAAAGGGAGGCAATTCTATCTTCTCCCATCCCAGAGTCCCATGCCACAGACAAAAAAGAGACCAGGTAAGGCAGCATGTTAATGAGGGGATTGAATTTCAGCCCTAGGCTGACTCCCCTCCCCCAGAATCTACAGGACATTGAGGAATGACCTGTCTTCAGACTCCAGTCTGAAATTACACCTAACAAACCAGAGATGTCTTTCTCCTCTTGTGAAGTTCTCTGGGCTCCTTCCATCCAGAAAAGAGGGGCTTTTCCATCTTTTACATGGCACAGGAGACCACTTCTTTCTTGTCTGCTGCTCCCCTCGGCACTGTATGTACATCAATCCCTCTGGTCTGCTACCCACTCTGTCTCTGGTGAATCTTCTCACACTTCATCCCTACACCCCAAGTCTTTTATGCATAAATAAATTATTTTATTTTAAAGAAGCAATCTGGATCCTTTCCTCCATGCAGGGGTCCCTCCTGGTCCCACCGGGGTGCATACTTTCCATCTCAGACAGCTAGACCTTTTCTCCTGGAACAGTCTCAGGGTTCTTTGTCACCTAACAGCTAACTTGAGTGCTCTTGCCCAACTTGGTCCAAATTGATTCCCAGCCTTCTCCCTTTTCTGGCCATCTGTTTGTTGCTAGGTCCTTTAGTCAGAGAAGCTGTATTTTCAGTGACTTCGACATTCTTCCTTGGGTGACTTTATAGTTTCTTTCCCCTAGAGAGACACAGGGAGCTAATATGCAACATGGCCTCAGCAAGTCACATCACATTTCTGGATTTCTGTTTCTTCCTTGGTAAATATAGACAGCTGGATACAAAAATAGAAAAATAAAATAGAGGCAGCTGAACTGCATGATGGTTTAGTGTAGCTCACCAACTAATTTCTAATGGTGCTTTAGAGATTTTTAGTTTTTAAGATGTTTACCACTGTCAAACTTTAAAAGTATTAATTTCAAACATAGCACTTCTATCCGAGCGTAGAGCCTTGGCTTAAAGCATGCAACTTTGTGTTTGCTATCTTCCAGTTTCACCATGATTTGTTGAAAGTTGCATATTTCTTCTGGGGTAAAACAAGACTCAAAGAGGCACCTCTCAAGTCTTCCCTTTCTAAGGGAAGTTTATTGTTACCTACTGGGAGAATTTAGCTATATCTTAAATTAGACTGTAGTTATCTTAAAGGTGGTACTCATTTAGTAGGTAGAGAAAATTCAGAAATGCAGCCCGAGACTATGGAACTTACTCAGTTAATTACAATGGTGAGAATAACCATAACGAAAAAGAGCATAAAATACATTTTACCATGTGATGAGAGTAGAAGACTTACTTATCTAAGCTTAGCACTGTGTTGCAGAAGAAACAAGAGAAATTGCCTATTCTAGCCCATCAGGAGGAGGATGATCAGTCTACATGGGGCCTAGAGGGGGCTCGCAGAATAGGGAAGCAGGCTCCACCTGAGAAAAGAAGGCTAGAGAGCCTCCAGTTTCTAAAAGGAGGCAGCCAGCAAGATGGTGGCTCCTAATAAAGCAGAGCTGGGCCTCTCTGGTAGTGAAGGGGCTAAGTCTCAGCACCATGAAGCTGCAGCCACTACAACGAGTGCTCCCTGGCCAGGGAGGTGGCACAGCAGAACCCTCCTGTCTCACCCGCTGCTCCCCTCAGCAGTGTATTTCAGTCAGTCTGCCTGTTCTGCTCCCCACTCTGTCTCTGGTGAAGCCTCTCACCGCACCCCCCCCACACACACACCTTTGGCCTATGCCCCAGTTCTTGTATGCATAAATAAATAAAAATAAATCTGGCCAGGGGTTGCACTCATACTGTGGTGGCTGCTGGTAGCTTCATAATGCTGACACTTAACCCCTTGGGCCACCAGAAGTTTTGTGCACTTAATCATCAGATTGATTCATATACTATTCATGCATATTGCTTAGTCCATACTCTAGCTTTTCCTATGATTTGCTCCCTTAGGTAACTCTGGCGCCAGCTGTTGGAGCAGTGGGTGATGGCATCCCTACTGCAAGGGCGTAAGTATCCCAGCAGAGGAAGGGGCTTTGGGGAGGCAGTCTAGGGATGGGGGGAAGACTGGACCCCTGCTCAAGAGTTCCTCCTGGACCCTCCATCTTCCCTTCTGACTACCTAGTCCCTCCCTCTCCCAACCCAGGGTTACCTGTCAGTGAAGATCTGCTACTAATGCAGAAAGGCACGATGATGCGCAAGGTGAGGTCCAAAAACTGGAAGAAGCTAAGATTCTTCAGACTTCAGGAAGATTGCATGACTGTGTGGCATGCCCGACAAGTTGGAGCAAGTGCCAAGCCCAGCTGTGAGTGATGTGGATAGCTAGGGGTGGGCACGTGGTATTATAGGAGCCTGAGCACAGGGCCTTGAGATGTTATACCATTTGTGTCAATGTCTGAACCTGTAAAATAGACATTATAATAGCACTTGCCTCTTTATGATGTTGTAATAAAATTAGTGATTGCATTTAAAGACTTAACAAAAGTTCTGGCACATAATAAGTTTCAATAAATCATAGGTTATGGGCCTCCCTGGTGGCTTAGGGGTTAAAGTCTTCAGCACTATGAAGCTATCTGCAGCCACTGTGGCATGAGTTAAATACCAGCCAGGGAGCTGATCCACATGACACAGCAGACCTCTCCTGTCTCACCTGCTGCTCCCCTCAGCAGGGTATTTCAGTCAATCTGCCTAGTCTGTTCTCCACTCTGTCTCTGGTGATTCCTCTCATCCACTGTACTTCTGGTGTGTACCCCAGTTCTTGTATGTGTAAAAAAAATAAAACCTTAAAAGAGAAAAATATAAATTGTAGGTTCTATCTTACTACCATTATCATAAGGACATAATCTCAGGCATTAGACTGCCTCGTCTGAAGCCCATGTTCTGCCACTCTCTAGCTCTGAATGACTTCGGTTAAGGACAAATTGCTTAAGCTGAGCTTCTTTTCCTCATCTGTAAAGTGAGATTTAAACTGTAGCTGCCTAAAAGGTCGCAGAGACTTAATAAGTTAGTGGTTAGTGTGTAAAGCACATTGCAATCCATGGGGCCCAAAGCCAGAATATAATTAATAAGTGTTAGCGATTATTTTTTTTTAAGATTTATTTACTTATTTATTTATTTATGCATACAAAACAAGCCAGAGGTGCAGGGGCAGTGAGAGGATTCACCAGAGACAGAGCGGGGAGCAGAATAGGCAGATTGACGAAATACACTGCTGAGGGGAGCAGCGGGAAGGTCAGGAGAGGTCTGCTGCATCATGTGGGTCACCTCCGGGGGTGGGGATCGAACTCATGCTGAAGTGGCTTTAGCTTCTTAGTGCTGTGCTTTAACCCGCTGCGCCACCAGGGAGGGCCCATGAGGCATGTTTTTAAATGTTACAAATCATCGTCCTGTTGGCCACACAGTTTCTAATACCTCTAAGAATCTGACCTCCACGGCTCTCCCTGGTGGCGCACGCAATGGGTTAAAGCCCATCATTATGAAACTCTGAAGCCACTGCAGCAGGAGTTCGAGCCCCAGCCAGGGAACTGACCCAGATGGCTTGGCAGACCTCTTCTGGTTCTCCTGTTGCTTCCCTCATCAGTGTACTTTGTCAGTCTGCCTGTTCTGCTCCCCACTCTGTCTCTGGGGAATCCTCTAACCCACCACACCTCTAGCCTGTACCCCAGTTCTGTAAGCATAAATAAATAAATCTAAAAAAAAATATCTGACCACCAGATATATCCAAGACAGACTGCTTGAGACATAATCGTCAGAATCCATGTTCCATATCAACCCCGGCTGAGGTCAGGAGGGAGAATTTCTCTGGTTCCCCCCTAGACAAATAAAAAGAGGAAGTCCTCAAGCCTGGAATAGGAAAACTGAACTTAGGACTATGCTTTGGTGTATCTGCTTCTACCCTACAAGCAAACTTCCACTTGTCAGCCTCAGAAATCTCCATGGTCACCATGGGGACTGGCCATGGAGGGGGCCATCTTTATTTCAGATGAGGACACTGAGGTGTTAAGTCATTTGGCTCTGTCACACTGCTAGCCGGTGGCTGGAAGCCAGATCTCGCTGTCCCCAGCACACAGGCCCCTTGCCATGCTGCTCATGAAAATAGCAATGACTCCTGTGGATTCCTGAAGCCCAGGCATGTGTACGTCCCTGCACTAAAGCTTTGGGGTTTTAACCTCTGGAGGCTGCTGTTCCTCTTCTCTGTGGATTCACAGAAAATAAGGGAGTTCCAGTCATTGGCTCATAGCCCTTGCATTTGGTGGATCTGCTTCCTCAGAGTCCCGCTTGCTTCTTCTCTGGCAGTCTCAATCTCTGATGTGGAGACAGTGCGTGAGGGCGATGAGTCTGAGTTGCTGCGCAGCCTGGCAGAGGAACTCCCCCTGATGCAGGGTTTCACCATCGTCTTCCGGGGTCGCCGTTCCAACCTGGACCTGGTGGCTAACAGTGTTGAGGAAGCTCAGATCTGGATGGAGGGGCTCCAGCTGCTGGTGAACTTTGTCACCAACATGGACCAACAGGAACGACTGGACCAGTATCGACTGGAGTCAGAGTGGGGCTGGGGTCACTCAAGGAGCCTGATGCTGCAGGGCTTGGGACAGTGGGAGGGATGCAGGGCTTGGGCAGCCCAGATGGGATGGGCAGACAGCTCAAAGTGATGCAAGGCTAAGCATACAGAGGGAGAAATGGATGTGTGGGGGGTGGCGAAGGCTCAGCCAGGTCGAGTTTGGGCATGAAGCAGACCCTGCAGGATTACAGAAAGGGACAGTGAGCAGCAAAGGACCAAACAAAGTGCTGATCCTGATATCCTAGCAGAAGCTCCCAGAGAATTAACTACTGAAGGGGTGGGAAGAAGTCCCCCAGAGAGCTCAACTCAGTTTCCTCGGTTGTATTCATCTCCTATCCATTAACCATCTGTTAAACAGAATGTATCAATGCTATTCCAGCTTGTAGAGATGCAAAGATGAAGGAGATTCCAATGCTGCTTTAGTTGGTGGAGAGGATGGACTTGTGTCAGTAATCTCGGTACTATAGAAGGTTATGCAACCTGTACTTTTTGAACTAAGACTTGATAATGTGTAAGTAGAATTTTCACATGAAGAGAGGATAAGGGGTAGTCATTCTAGTTTGAGGGGAGAATCTGAGTCAAGGTCCAGAGGCAGGAAGCTGAGGAGCAGGAGAGAGTGGGACATCACAGAGCAAGGAGTTGCTCAGTCTGGCCAAAGCCCAGGGAACACAGACATGTGCTGAGGAGGCTGGCTTAGGGCCAGATCATGGAGACGAAGGACACCTTCTGCATTCAGAGATTTGGACTTCTTTCTGCAGGCAACAGGGAGGTCACCCCTAAGTCATGCAATGACAAGGTAAATTGGTGCTCTGGGGAGATTATTCTGGAAGCTCATGTGGAAAAGCTAATTGGCATGAGGGAGAGGCTAAGAGAAGAAGTGCTTTTGCCTTGACTCAGATCTGGATGGTTGAGGGACTGGTTCCAGCGTGGAGACAAAAACCAGGATGGCCGGATAACTTTCCAAGAAGTCCAGCGGTTACTGCATCTGATGAATGTGGAAATGGACCAAGATTATGCCTTCCAGCTTTTCCAGGTGAGTCTTCTGAGGAAGGATCTGCAGAAGTCAGCTAAGGTCACATTCTCACTTGTCCATAAGTGCTCTGATCCTATCCAACAAAATTTATTTGTTGAATCTCTGCTGAATATCTTAGCACCATGTCAGGCCCAGTGAGACATGTGGGCATGGCGCTTACCCTTCATTCTTGCTGGAAAGATGATCCCTAATTGTATGAAAGGTAGAAAATGACATGTTACTATGTCAGTCCTTAGTGGCCTCTCTGTCCATGGCCAAGTTTTCACAGGTGCCTAGTACAGTGGAAAATCCCAAATGAAATGTATAAATAAGAGGGATTGTCTGATCTTTTAGAGACTTTTTGGGCACTTAACTCATACTAGTTGAAATTATTTTCTGGTAGTAGGAAGTATGGCTGAAATTTGGCTTTTATTTTTTAAGATTGATTTATTTCTGCATACAGAACTGGGGTACAGGCCAGAAGTGCAGGGGTGGAGAGGATTCACCAGAGACAGAGTGGGGAGCAGAACAGGCTGACTACCGAAGTACACTGCTGAGGGGAGCAGCGGGCAGGTCAGGAAAGGTCTGCCGCGCCATGTGGCTTTAGCTTCATAGTGGCTTTAGCTTCATAGTGCTGCGCTCCAACCTGCTGCATCACCAGGGAGGGCCCTGAAATTTGGCTTTTTACTTACTGAAGTGACTCCTATGAATGCTAAATGTCAAGAGTTTTGCGGAAACATCTTTGAATTCCTCTATCAGCTAAATTATCTACATGGCAAGTCAAGGCCATTAAATTTGCAGCTTATGGATTCACTAAATCTTCTCTTGCAGACAGCAGATGCATCCCAGTCTGGGACTTTAGAGGGAGAAGAATTTGTAACATTCTATAAGGCCTTGACTAAGCGAGCTGAGGTGCAGGAACTATTTGAAAATTTTTCTGCTGATGGGGAGAAGCTGACTTTGCTCGAATTTGTGGATTTCCTCCGAGAGGAGCAGAAAGAAGGAGATTGCGCATCTGACCTTGCTCTGGAATTGATCAACCGCTATGAACCTTCAGAAAGTGGTAAGCAGAGTGCAGAGGCACTGGGCATGAACAGGAAGGTGCAACAGTGCTCTCTCCTCAAAAAGAGTGCTGGACAATCACTCCATAGGGGCATTGATGGTAGAACTAACATCATGGTTGGCAATAGCCAGACAGTGCAGGGAATAAAATACAGGCTACTGAAGCATATCACTAATATGTCTTTGATTTTGATTCTCTCTGGATTCACAAATAAAATTAGCCCTTTGGACTGAGTACTGTCATCTCAATATAACTTTTACAGTAACTAATTTCAAATTAAATTAAAATTTTGGTTCCCAGTCACACAGTCACATTTTAAGTGTCCAGTTGCTATATGAGTCTAGGGGCACAGAAGAAAACATTTCCGTCACTGTAGAAAGTTTTCTTAGACCACACTGTACTAGAATGATCTTTATGATTCTCCTTAGAGCTTTAACATCCTTGGAGGGTGGGGATGATTGAAATGACCCATACTGGGCCTGGGGGGCAAATCTGGGATCTGGAATTTGGAAGTGGATGCCACCTGAAATTCAGGACCTTGGAGAGGGGTGGGGCGGTGGGTGGGCTGGCGGTGTGCTGGGAGCTCCCACTTGAAGTTTCTCACTCTAGCATTTGCCTACTTCACACCCAAGGCAAACTGCGTTGTGTGCTGAGCATGGATGGCTTTCTCAACTACCTCTGCTCAGAGGATGGTGACATCTTCAACCAGACCTGCCTTCCCATCTACCAGGATATGACTCAACCCCTGAACCACTACTACATCAACTCCTCTCACAACACCTATCTACTGGGGGACCAGTTTTGTGGCCAGAGCAGCGTCGAGGGATATATACGGTGCTGTGGGAAGGAGGGGAGAATGAGACTCAGCTCATAAAAGGGACCGTTTGTGGAAAATTGATGGGCACTGTCAGTGGATAACAGAGTGAAAAGGTGCTGTGGGGGATGTTGAGGATCCCTGGATCTTGGGCCACCTGAGAGATTTGGAAGAGATATTGAAAAGTGATATTAAGCCTCCATGGATACACAGAGTTTTCCTCTCCTTCACAAGCTGTGACACACTCTCAGGACTCAGAGGTCCTGACAGATTTATTTGGGACAAATAAATGTTAAATGGGAGGTAGCAGGACATAGGAATTAAATGCACAGGTTCTGGAGTCAGACCATTGGAGGCCAAATCTTATGTTCCTCACTTGGCACTCTAGGTTTAATTTCTCTATGCCTCAGTTTCTCCACCTTTAAAATAGGAATGATAACAGTGTCTACTGTCTGGGTTGTTGTGAGGATCAAGTGAGGTGATTCATGGGTCAATAGTGAGTAAATAGTACCTGCTTCTATTGTGATTAACCATGGATTAGATCAAAAATAGTTAAGATATCTTGGCAGTGCCAGCAACTAAACTAGTAACTTCAAGGGATAAAAGATGAGTGGACTATACACAATGGAATATTGCTCAGCAATCAAAAAAGACAAACACATGCCTTTTGCAGCAACATGGATGGAGCTGGAAGGGATCATGTTTAGTGAAAAAAATCCAGAAAAAAAAGAAAAATGCATTTTACTCATAGCAGGAGTATAAAGGACCAGGGGAAAAAATAATAATGAACAACTATATACCGGAGAGTGGGGAAAAAAACCGGGAGGGGGAAAGTGCACTGGACTATGGTGATGGCACACAGGTGATTTGGTGATGGGAAGCCCATGGGGATTACAACTGAGATGAAAAATGGCACAAAATGATGTAAAAATAAACTATTATATATGTATATATTTTAAAAGATGAGCAGAACATATAGTTTCTGCCTAAGGAAGTCTAAATTTACTGGGAGTTTGAATAATCCAGAAGCTGTATATCATAAATAACCAAAATGCTAGGAGTGGGAAAAGGCAGTATGGGGTGGTTTGCTATGGAAGGACAGTGAGTTGGGTGGAGTGGAGGGTGGACACTGTGCAGTGTCCTTATGAACAGTGACCACTCCTTGGAGATGTAGCTTAATGGGATCTTGACAGGTAGGTGTCAGGGAGTAGTGTCCCTAGGTGAAACATCAGACCTTGATGCCACCTGTCTCTGGTGGGTTGGGGTTCTTGCAGGGCCCTGAAGCGAGGGTGCCGCTGCGTGGAGGTGGATATATGGGATGGACCTACTGGGGAACCTATCGTTTACCACGGGCACACCCTGACCTCCCGCATCCTGTTCAAAGATGTGGTGGCCTCTGTAGCACAGTATGCCTTCCAGGTAGGAGCTCCAGGATTGCAGGGGTGCAGCCCGTATGATGCTAAGAGAAGAGTAGCTGGCCCTGGGCCTGGGGAGGGTGGAGGGACACAGGGGAGTTTAGGTCAAATGGCAAAAGTGATTGTAAAAGTGATTTTAACTGTGATGCTTCAGGCAAGTCATAAGGGTAGTTATTATGAATAAGTGTTGAATTGCTAGTAATTAATAGTCTCAGAGGAACTTGCTCGAGGTTGGTAACTATCACTTCTAGCCATGTCTGTCACTGTCTGGGACAGGGTAGAGAAGAAAGAGAGAAAGTGACAGGTAGAGCTGGAGAGCGATGTGAACCTAGGGGAATGTGAGGCCACATAACCAAGGGAATGGCCTGGTCTTCTAATCCTGGGTCTGAAAACTCAGGGGTCTCAGACCTGACCTAAGTCTCACATGAGGAATCCCGAGAGTGAATTTTGATGTTGGGTGTGCTCCAGGCCCAACGAGCCTCCCTTGAGGCCTGGAATAGGGGTGGAGGAATTTAGCAATCATGGTACTCAGTGGAGTGACACTGGAGGGCCTGGGGAAGTGAGGAAATTACAGGCTGTACAGCTCTGGTTCCAGTGTCTCTCCCCCCTATTAGACTTCAGACTATCCAGTCATCTTGTCCCTGGAGAACCACTGCAGCAGTGAGCAACAGGAGGTCTTGGCAAGACATCTAACCCAGATCCTGGGGGAACAGCTGATAGACACCACCTTGGATGGGCAGCTGCCCACTCAGTTGCCCTCTCCTGAGGTAGGCACCTTGCTCCCTGAGTCCAGGTCTTATAGTTGCTTCCATAACCCTCTACTTGGCTGCTTCCTCCTTTCTTCCTTTTTTTTTTTTTTTT